ATTGTTTTTTTTTTTTTTTGTTTTTGAAGAAAATATCATTTCAACGTTTCCCATTTCAATAACTCCCTTACGGAAAACTATATTTTTCTTAGGGGTCGGACCCCGCTAGTCCGCGTTCAAGACCCGGATCCACATACTTATAGAAAGCTTATAAAAATACCTATCTAACAAGTGGTCACATGTTGGGGTTATTTGAAGCGGATGAGAAGTTATAGTCAAATTATCGATTTTCTGGAACCGGATTTTTTATTAAACCCCCAAAAAGTCAAAAAAGTGCCCATTATGGTGTTCAACAAAATTTATGCGAAATTATTGCTTACACTCTTATCATTCCAAACTGCTACAATTTGTGGTAATCCCTTTCGAGAAAATCGAAGAGTTTTTTCTAACCTAGAGTTGTTCCTATAACTTCTTTATTTGAATACTGAATTTTGGGCGTTATCTTTATCCTCTTCGGTGTTCCAGGAATTTGCTTAGTGTCTCTTGGATTTTCGAAAACAACAAAAAACTGCTCTAAATTAGTTTTTTTTTTCAATTTTGCCGCCTATTTGCAAAGGCCATGTGAAAAATGTGTCTCTGTCATAACATTTTGTTGACCATGTCTCTTTTATTTTTTTAATGGTTAATTGTTGGTAAATATCCGTCGATCGGTTGATATGGTTTTGTTGTTTTTATTTCCTTCTTCTTCTTCTTCTTCCTTCAAACATTTTTTTCTTTTATTTGTTTTTGTCGACGACATGTGAAATAAATGAAACGACAGAAGACCTAAAGAGTCCAACAAATTTATGGCTGACAAACCCGGCAATGTTGATCACAACATGACCGGAGAAGAGGGAGGGCGAAATCCCAAAGAAGAAGAAGAGGAAAAAAACAAAGGCAAAATTGTAGAAGAAGAAGAAGAAATAAAAAGACGTTAAAAACGTTGAACAAACCAAACATAAAAAAGGTTTCGAGGCACACAAATGTTTACTGGGAGACGTAGAGGTTGCTGGGTTTGGTCGTTTTGTTAGATGTCGATGACGATGATCATGATGATGGGCAGTTAGTGAACGAGCCAGGCCAAGTGAACAAATGAATAAACGACCCTCTAACAAAAATAATGTCTGTCCTTAGAAATTTTCTTGAAATTGTGCGCTGTCCGTCATCTCGTTCATTTTTTTCTAATACAAATATTGTGTGCGTGAGTTACTGGTTCAAAATTGCTTGGACAGTTCGTTGGTTGGTTGGTTGGATTGGTAACTACATACCTACATGTGTACCTACTATGGACATACGTATGTTTGTATGTCTCTTGGTGGTGTATACAAATAATGTTATTCTTTTTTCTTCTCCTGTTGTGCTATTTACTCATTTTGTTAAGAAATTCTCTGTGTGTGTGTGTTTGGTTTGAAGCTTGTCTTGGTTGTTGTTCTTTGAAACAAAGTTATCCAGCACCCTACCCCTCTTTCTTTTTGCTGCCATGCACTCTCGCTCTTTCTTGGATGTTTGATGTAAGGGAATTTTTGTGGTTCTCTGTTAGTTTTTTTTATTGGCTTTTGAAATTAGAACAACAACTACAACAAGAAAATGTCATACCCATACTCAACCCAGCCATCCATATACTTGTTGTGGAAGTTGTAAGTTTTTTGTTTTTTCTTGTTACTGCATTTTGTCATAATTTGTTGTTTATGGGTCCCTGAGATTTCTACCATGATTTGTTTGTTTTTTCTTCTTCTATTTTTTTTGGTCTTAAAGAATTTTTTTTTCTTTGGAATCTTAGAATTTTGTTACGACTTTGTTTCTGTGCAGTAGTTGTGATTTTTTTTTTTGGTTAACATTTAAGTGATAATTAAATTAACGGTCAGTTGTCTTAAAAATTTATTGCATTTCTAAAAAATGGATTTTAATTAGAAAACACATTTGAAAACTTCTTTGGACAATAGATTTGATTGTAATTTTTATTACGAAGAATAAAATACAAAAATTTGGTAGCAAGAATAGAAAAAAATATTGAGATTTTGATACCTAAAATTTGGAAATTAAAAAGTAAAACGTGGGAACAATTAGGGTACATTGACATGTACGCAAAAATATATCTATAGGACGTAAAATAAAAATTTTGGAATTTAAACTTGAATTAATTCGATTTTTCATAACTTCGAAAGAAAATGAATGGGAAAGAAAATCACCAATTTCATGCATTGTTTGCAAAATTTTATTAAGTTTGAAATATTTAAAAATTGAGAAAATACGATTTTTTTTATTTTTGTCCTAGAGCTTCTTCGTACAGCACGAGCGAGAAAATGCATGTCCTTAAGAAAAAAAATGGTGGAGATGTCGAAACTCATAGCAATGTTTAAAATCACACTTTTTTAAGGTCAAGTGAAATTTAAAGTAAATTCACTCTACTTTAAACATTTTTACTAGATAAAAATTTGAAAAAACGTAAAAAAATACTCTGGAAAATTGTTAAAAAAATGTACTATTTGGCACATTTTAAAATTAGAATTTCTCTAACCCTTAAAGTCGGTCCATTATTTAGTGAAAATTCCAATTATGATCCATTTATTCTATTTATTCTATATATGCCAGCTACAGTAACAAGTCGATGCCGACAACTGAAAAATTACAAAACTTACACTATTTTACTTGATTTGAAAGTTTCACCAATCTCAGACATTTCTAAGAAAACTTCTGACGATTTTTTTAGGGTTCCTTATATCCCAGGAAATTATTTTAAGCTACTCTAAGATATTACAGATATTGCTAAAATAGCTGTTAAATTGTAATATCTGATAAAGATCCTTTGTTTCTAGAAAAACTGTGAACGAGTCCTTGTAACAGTCGCGGTATTTCTTAAAGGGATTTCTTTTTAAAATTATCCATCACAGATTACCTATCTCTGAAAGACCTTTTTCATTGCCTGATACTTCCGTAAGACTTGATAACAAATCTTTGTATGTACTCTCTAATGCCATAAATTACCTATTTTTAGGATATTTTAAAATGTCATATATTCGACATTTTAGAACTTAATCTCTGAAAAAGCCAAGAAGAGTTTCTGAGCAGAATGTATTACAATCGAGGGAGAGCAAAGCTTCTTCGTTCTAAATCGAGTAGCCTAAACAATTTAAAAAAACATTATGTTCTGCCGGGCCAAACTTTTAATACCCTCCACTTTTAGGTAAATAGGATATTTTTAAATAAAAGTATCTGAATTCAAACTTTAAACTACAAATACCATTAAGACTGTTTAGATAACGCTGCTGAACTTTTCAAAAAAATATGGGGGCCATACCGAAACGGGAACTCCCATTGACGATTTTATACTTCATCCACCAAATCTTCTTAAATACCAAATTTTAAAACCATTTCATGTGTAAATGTGATTAGGATTATCAAAATTACCGCAAAATGTGGGGGTGGGGGCGCGGGGACGTGGAAAACGTTGACCTAAATAAGTATTCGATGTCCTGCCGCCGGGGCTAGAACGCATTATGACCTACAAAAACCAATTTTTAGACAAATCCGAGGGAAAATGTGGCATCAATTATCAAAATACCGAATATCAGTAGTTGCTATTTCTATAAAAAATCAAAAGGCATGGCATTTCATTTTCTCACTCTCTTAACATTTTTAATGTGTATTAATTTCGATTTTTTTCCAGATCCATTTATAACTAATGAAAATTCAAAATATAATCTAAACTATTTCTTGCACTATTTTGAAAATATATTTAAAAAATTATCTTGAAGTTACCTATCCAAAAAAACCAGACAGTTTCACAGTCTCTGTCAAATAGGCTCTCTTCTATTTCCCCTATAATAAATAACATTTTTATTTGATTTTCATTAAAATTGTGACTTGGGAATGAAAATTCCAAACCCAGAACTTTAAATATTGTTTAAAATAAAACTTCTTCTGAAAAATAATTAAAAAACCGTGAAATTTCCTAGTCATCTCTGTCAAACAGAATGCTCTTCCTTTTTAACCCTCTCTCTCATTTCTCTATAAAAAAACAAACATCTCTTACTCTCACTGAAAAAAGAGCAGCACAGTAAAAAAACAGGGTTCAAAGGAAATGTGAGAATAAAAATTAAAAAAGGAAACAACTGGTTAACGAACAAATGCACACACATACACACACATGAACTCACGCACACACACACACATTTTAACAGGCAATCAAACTCGCCTCTTAACCAAATAGAGTTAAAGCAACAACGACCATAATCGGGTTTTCCATTGCCTGGTGTTACACACAAACAACAAAACATATGGACATACACACAACATAACATACATATGTATGGATGTATGCTCTGGGTGGTTGGTAAGTGTCTTGGCTAACGCGACACGGCACGGCAAGTCATTCCACCCGTACTTGAAAAAGAACATAAAGCGCAAGAGACAAGAAATACAAAAAAATAAGGAAAACGAAACAAGTAAGTGAGACGGACAAGGCAGACAGACAGCCAGGCAGGCAAGAAGAAGAAAAACAACAATGTACAAAGGAATTACAATGATCATCAGGCACAAACAAGAGCGAACAGCCCATACAGCGGCGGTGTGTAGGGATTTCAACGACTTGTGTTGGGTAAAGCCGTTGTTTGTGGCTGTGTGCGTGTGTTGTTTCTTAAAGACTTGTTGTGGCAGTTGCAAGAAAAAGCAATAAAAACAGTAAATTATCTTTGTAGATGTCCATACGTGTGTTCGTGTGAGCCTGTGTGAGTTGAGTTTATTTGCTTGGACGATTGAGGTGGTTTCTTTCTGCTGAGCAAAAGTATCTTATGGATTTGATTTCAAAGCAAGATACAAATACACACTCACACACACACACAAACACACTTATGTAGTATTGCATTTTCAAAATGGAGAACAATTAAATGTGATTTTTCGTGTAAGGAATGACAGAAAAAAATTTAGCAAGAAGAAGAAGAAGCAATTCCTTAACATGGACAAAAGAGATATTTTTAATTTTATTAATGCCTATGGATTATTTTCTAAATTTCTAAACTTACCCGCTTCGGCAATTCCTTGTATTAGCAGGGAGGGTATCAGCAGGCACCATAATGTTAAATATTTTATCCAAAATATATCAGACTTTGCAAAGGTGTGGTTTTTAACCAGTAGCCACATTATAATCCAGTTTTGTGGCTGCTTGGGTGTAGAGTGAAAGAAGAAAAAAAGAAACAAGACAGGAGTAGCAGGCCGCCGCTCTGTATCCAATGGAATCTTTAAACTAACCCACGATCGAACGCTGAGGTTAGTTTAATGATTTTTTTCCTTTTCGTTGTTGCAATTTTTATTTCTGCGTTTATCTTTTCTAAATTGGCTGTGGACAAAAGGAACTTTTTCGAATGGGTTATTTTTTCACTTTGTTTTTCTTTTTTTATTTTCACAATTTCTTTAATTTCTTAGCATATTTGTTTCCGTTCCGTGGGAAATGTTTCGCCAATCCTTGTATTTTCACAATTCCTAGATTTTTTTCCTTCATTCAATTCACATCAGAAAATTTTCAAACGACTTTAAGTCGTTCCTTAAAAGTGGTCGCTAGCCACATATCTTAAGTTTTCTTTGTCGCAGTTATATTTTTCTTCTGGTTGTTGTTTTTTTCTGTTCACTTTAATTTGTGTAATTTTTTTTCTCACACTCCGCACACCGCCGCTCGGGCAAACAAAATTGTATTGTAGTACAAAATAAAGACAATTATTTTTTGTTGTAAGCAAAGAGCACAGCGCAAAAGATTCTTCGACACGACGACAACAAAAAGACGGCGCACAATATAAACCACTTTTTCGAAATTATGGTCAATTCTTCAGGTTTCAGGTTTTCTTGTGCTCGATGTCACTCTTGTTCTCCTTGCCACCTCTCTCGCACAAATTGATCACTCACGCTCTCTCTCTCTCTTTCCCTCTCTCTGTCGCACACAAACAACGGCCTAATCCACACTTTGGTCGGTGGTTCACAGTACTCTACTCTCTTTCCTTTAATTATTTCCAACAGCCTTTGCTTTCATTCCTTTTATTCTTTAACAACAAATTTACAACAATTTCTTCACATAATTTGTTTATTTCAAATTGATGTTAACATTTTCCATTCGGTTTTGTTTATTTGTTATTGTTGTTTCTCACACCATTTTTGTTTTCATTTCGTTTCAAAAAAATTATTTTCAACCGTCAATTACAATCGAAAGAAAATATTTTCCCTTTTTTATGTTCACGTTTTCTCACTATTCACTTATTTTTCGATTTGTTTTATTCCAATATTCGTTACTTTTTTAATCCACAATAAATAATTATTTCGTTTTGTTTTTTCTATTTCAAATTCCTTAATTATAGTTTCTGCACGGCGCAAGCGTTCATTCGATGCGCTGTTTATTGTTGTTGTTTTTATTTTTGCAATTCGTGCGCGCCGCGTTCTTCGTGCATGCGTGGACGTTGATGGTTCCTGGATTATTGTGGATTATTTCTCTCGATCGCATTTGTTGGTGGTGTGTTTTCATACATTTATCTGGTTACTTTCGGCATTGTCGGCTACTCGTGTGCGAGTAACCAATCAATGGAAATACAACTGTGGAGAAGAGTGTTACCAAACCAGAGAAGGATTTTGCACAGAGTTTCCAACCCACAAACCTGAGCAAGGAATTGCCAAACGAGAAGAAATACAGTTCAGGGAAGTTGGCTTTACTTTTTTAATGGTAAAATTAGTAAAAAATACAGAAAAGTGAAACTCACTCTGAAGTAATAATTTTACTCAAAAGAGGCAACATTTTATGGCAAACTTTCAAAGTAAACATATCAAACAATCATAAAATGACAATCATCACCCAAATTTGTCTAGAAAAAGTATTAACCATGGTAGAATCATATTTTTACAATCTTTTCAAAATTATCCATTTGACAACATCTTATTGTCAACATTTATATTTACAAATCCATTGTATACATACAAATCAGAGATGAGAACCTGTTTTCTTTGCAATGAAATTTGACAAGGTAAATTACAGGACATTTTCTTCAGAGTTGTATTTTTTAAACCTCTATTCCTCAACCTGCCCTACCTTGTATTTATTGTACCATGGTTCTGTCAATGTTTAAATTGTTCATGTTTTGAAATTTGCACGTTCGGCTTATTTCGGTAGCATTCATATGAAGACATGTGTTCAAACTCAGTGGTGAAAAACCGTCGAAGGCGTACGTCAGGTATTAGGTAAAAAGAATTTATTGGGTAATGGACAGAAAAGAAAAGGTGGGAATACATAAAGCGCTTATTTGGCTGGCTTCTTCGTAGAGGAACAAAGGAGTTTTAGGTTGACTAAGTTCGATTTTGGTCCTCCTTTGTTCATTTCCGAAGAAGCAAGCCGATGACTTAAGCCAGCCAAATAGGCGCTTTATGTATTCCCAGCTTTAGCCTTGTAAGCCATCATCCACACCCAAATTGCCTGATGAGCCGCTTAACCAACGGCGAAACGAGTCGCATAATGGTGAGTGTGTGATAGTGTCTATCAGGCTTTCTTTTTCACTGCAAATTTCAGATCATTAAGCTCTGACCAATCATAAATATCGCGGAATTCTATTCCCACAAAAAGCATTTTTCAAGAGATATAATTCCTCGAATCATGAATAATTGGTCGCTTTTTAAAATAAAATATACAGTATGTTAATAACTATTTGAAATACGGCAATTACCTTCTTTTTCCTTTATTCGTGAAACCTACTTTTTCCTCAAGCAGCTGGAGCTGGTTCCGTGCTCTTTTGGTGAATGTGTTCAAACCACTTATGTTGTCCGCCTTTCCCTTTTGATTCCCATCTTTATTCGATTTTCTCTCTGTGCTGTCTTTCTTTTCAGTGTTGCCATGAAACTTCACTTTTTTCTCCCGGTGGTCGGTTTGGTCGGTTTTTTAAATTAATTAATAATTTAATTTAATAATTAATAATTTTATAATTTTAATAATAATTAATAATTTAATTTAATATTCTTTAATTATTTATCGTATTTCGTATAAAAAAAATTAATAAATATAAATATCTAGAAAGAAATAGAACAAATGTGTATATGTGTGATTTGAGATTGTGCGTGATTTAAAAAACAAAACAAACCCGACCGCCAACATAACCTCCAATGCGTGGATAAAAAAACAAAAAAAAAATAATGGTCATGATTGAACTGATTATGTCGACATGTTGTGAAGGAGAGTATATCCTGATTTCGACTAGGCGAATGCTTGGAACATTATAGTTTTGTTTTTACTTTCTTGTAGGTTCCGGAACAGAGCAAATTTGTTCGTTTTGTATAAAAATAAAAACTCAAAAGGAATGCCTTTATTTTATGTTATATGGCCACTTTTCGCCTAAGAGTATGCTTTACATTTTAGAAATCAACGTGACTGCAAAAATAAACAGCAGAAGGGGACTTGTGCTAAAGAATTTTATTAAGATTATGATTGGAAAGCTTCAAATAAATCAAAAATGATATATTTTTTTTTATTATTTATTTAATTTTTATTCTTGTTGTTGTAATTTTTCTGTTATAATTACTGTTCTTGTATATGTATAAATAGATATAAATGTTATTGTAAATATAAATGTTATTACATATGTTTAATTATTATATTTTTTGTTGTTGTCGTTATCGTTACTTTTGTTTTGCAATAATTATTATTATTATAATTTAAAAATTAGAAATGCTGGTGTTGTCATGATTTACCTTTTGTTTCTGTCTGGAAATTTTGTTAATTGCGAAAAAATATAATATCAAAAATTATATTTAATACAAATGTTCAATACTGGAATAATAATTGATTAATAACACAAAAGAATGTAAATATTTAACTAATATAATTTGTAGGTTTGTTCTTTTTGGAAAAAAAATATATAAAATTCATTATTTGAGCCCAATGGAAAAACTCCAAATATCAAATCTTCTTTTTTTAAATATCCCTTTTCTTTTTTTTAAACCAATTGGAGTTTTTTTTATGAGAAAAATTTTTTTTCAAATTTTGTGGTTGTCTGTATAATCCTATTTGAATGTGTGTAGTAGTATACGCATGTGTTTATAAATTGTTATATTTATTGAAGAACAAATAATAATGTTAATAAATGTATGCATGTTGTTGTTGTTTTATTTTTCTGTCTAAGTGTATTGCTTTTTTCTTTTGTTTCATTTGATGTCTTATGGGGAGGGGTGTGTGTTTGTTTTATTTTAATTTTAGAAAAAATCTACTTTTTCTTGAGATATTTCGTAAAAAATTGTCTTAAATTGCATTAGCTTGGTTTTTTTTTTGTTATTATACTTCTTGTTTTTATTATATGGCAATTAGTTGATTTCAAGTCTTTTGTTTTCCTTATTTTTTATTACCGAATAACCGACGTTGGAAGTAAAATTTGGAAAGTCAAAGGAGAGTATTTTTAGTTAGTTTTTGTCTTTTTCGTTTGTTTTCTTCAAATTGTTGGTAGTGTTGATCAGTCTATTGGTCAGGACTTGTTCCCGTTTTGTAAATTGGCCAAATTGAGAGAGCAAAGTCATGTCATGTGAGTGCATGTTTATTGGATGATTTGAAATATGGTCGAATGAATTTGAACCATATTCCATTCGGATCCATATTGTTTTGCGGAATATCAAATATAAGGAATGGAATTGATTTCATTTACATGTTTAACAGAATACTTTTCTTTATAAAGGAATAGATGTCTTTTGTTTTCTCCAAATGTCAAAGAAATGAATGCAAAAAGTTAAGGGAAATTCTTGGGTAAAGATTGAAGGTATAGATAGATATCGATAGATAAGATAGTTTATATAACAGAGCAAAAATACAATATAACATAAAATACTATAGACTAGATACAAAAAATATATGTATGTGTATGTAGAGGATGTTTTGTTTTCCTTTTGTTTAGTTCAAAATTAAATCTAAAGTTGTGTATTAAACAAGTTCTTCATCATATTCTTCTTCGTCTTCATTTGTTTTTTTTCTTCAAGTGTTGTTGTAAAAATAGTTAGTTTAGGTTTTCTCTTAAATTTCTTTTAAAACTTAAAATTGTCATGGCTGGACAGAGAATTCCAAAAAAAAATAGTGTTAGAGGGTGATAGAGACAGAAAAGTAATAAATATGCCATAAATTATATCAAAGCAAAAATTCTTACACTTATTGCCTAAGACTAAGCAAAAACACTGAAACATGGATCATGGAGGATTAATATTAAAAGGAGCTTCTTTTGTTTTCGGGAAATTTCCCGTTTTCTTATGGGATTTAAGGTGGGTGTTGGGGGGTTGTTGGAGAGGAGATCATAATTTTAATTATCTTTCTTTCTTACTTTCTTTTTTTTTTCGTTCATATAAACAAATAACTTAAACTAGTATGGTTTTTGCTTGGCTATTAAAAATTACCAAAAATTAAAAAAAAAATGAAAACTTAATCTTGCCATTCAGTTTCATCAACACCTTCCATATCGTCTTGCTCCAATTTGGTGTTGTATTCCATGCGTGCACTAACCGATTTTTGTATCTAAAAGAAATTTGTTGTAAAATTAAATGTTGACTATTGTAATGATGTTGGTTTACCTCTTTCTGCTTGATTCTATCCGATTCAAATTTATTTGAAAAATTATCATTAGACGTTGTAACATTTTCCGTACGCTTGGTCTGGCTAACCACGGGCTGTATGGAGGACACTGGAAATAAATAATAAAAAAAAATGATTAAATATAATAATAAAGAAAGGAAACGAATTCAGGAGTCCATCGATTTATCAACAGATTTTACAGAATTATTTGTTCTTTACCGAACTCAATAGGATACAATTTTTGGAGTTTTTTATACCATCGGCCATATGGCTAGAGTATACCCTCATCATTTGACACAGCCAAAAACGTGCCTCATCGAAATGACGATTTTAGACCCTAGGTCTCTTTGGACCAAATCCGTTTCAGTACATTTGGAGCCGATCTAGCGATGTCCGTTCGTCGGTCCGTCTATGTTGCTGGTGTGCCCGATAACTCTCGAAGGGAGTGTCCGATTTGGTCCAAACTTGGTATATCGTAATATTATTGTCAAACTTCGATCGTGTTCGGAGATGGGCAATATTGGTCAACTACTTTTGGTATCTCCGCCACAAAATGTCAACATTTTCAAAGAAAATAATTTACTGCACGGAAAGAGAAAGGATAATCCGATTTTGCTCCAACTTTGCAAATCCTAATATTTGCATCAGTGCAAGGTCAGGTGCTAAAATGGACAATATCGGTCCAGTAACGGTCAATATTTGGAATAATTTTAACTTATAAAATGTGATGTAAAAGCCCGATCGTCATCAAATTACACACATCAAAATATTTTTATTAACCCATGGTCTGGTGTAAAGATGGAATATAACGATTTACTCCTTCTGGTACCTCCCTCACAAAGGGTCAAAATTTTGAATATTCATGAAGCTCATAAATCATGAAATTAATATCCGATTCCATTCAGACTTGGCACATCTCAGTATTTCCATAAACATAAGATTTGTTATAAAGATGATAGAGATCAGACCATTCCTTCTGCCACCTCTCCCACAAAGGGTTAACATTTTGAATAACCAAAACGATCATAAAATCCGAAATAAGCATCCGGTTCTATTCAAATTACACACATCACAATATTTTTTATTAACCCAAAGTCTGGCGTGAAGATGGAATATATCGGTCCATTTCTTCTGGTACCTCCCCACAAAGAGTCAAAATTTAGAATCTTCATGAAGCTCATAGAAACCGAAATTAAAATCCGATTCCATTTAGACATGGCACATCTTAATATTTCGGAATATTTTTATACAAACATTCCATTTACTTACATGTATCCATGCCCTCGGGTTGTAGACTAATCTTTTTCGGTTTCTTATCGTTCGATAGAAACCATTCTTCGGCCGTCATTGTGGGTAGCCAAGTGACACGTGTAGGTGGGAATAGATCATCTTGGAATAATTCACTCTATAAACCAAAAACAAACAAAAAAATCAATCAATTTATAATAAATAACAACAATAATATAAAACGTCCCACCTTTATACGTGGCACAGTAAAACTCAACGGTTCAATGGTGGTGTTTGTCAAACGATAGGCTTTGCAAAATTCCACACTTGCCACATCACAATGATTCTTGGTGAGGAAACTCAAGCCCTGATGCAACGATGTACAACGATGATGTGACAGTGGACATATATAGGGTTCTTCATCGGTTATCTCATAGCAATAGATGGTGGAATCACCTTTGCCCGTGACAAACAATGTTGAACTGTCCTCATCGTAGAAGGGAATGAGTATGGAGGGTGATACATCCAAACTTGCCGTATTGAGGGGAGCATTCAAACTGTCCGCCTTGTAGACGCTGATTTGGCGCTCAGATACCCTACGAATTCATTATTAAAATTAAAAGAAATCGGAAAAATCGCACTTTTCGTTTGACTTACTTATCGAATCCTGTGCACACAATATACTGCCCATCCAGAGCCCAGACAATACGAGCTCCTCTCGTACCAACCGGTCCATTGCCTTCACGAATTGGTGTCTCCGATTTCCTGGGATTATATATGCGTATCTTACCATCCTTACTGACGGTGGCACCATACTTGCCACATGGACTCCAGGCAAAGTCAAATATTTGATCAGTGTGCCCGGTCAAAACACATTTCTCCTCCATGGTGGGTATGTGCCACAGCTTAATGGTCATATCATAGCTAGCCGTTAGCAGAATATCCTGAGCCAAAGGATGGAAACGTATAAAATAGATTTTATCCAAATGGGAATTCAGCTCCTGTTCGGGTGTATTGGTTGGTTCGGATAAACCACCCTCGGGTATGCGCCAAAATTTCACCATACCATCATCACAAGCCACAGCCAAACGTTTGGCATCGAATGGATCCCATTGGAAATCCATGATATTATTACCATTCACCAGTGAGGGTATGACACCGTCAGGCAAACGTCCCGGTTTGCTTAGCTCAAAAATGGCAATTTTACCACCCGGTCCCGAAAGGGGTACGGCCACACGTTCATGATTGGCGGTGAATCCATTGCATTCACCTGGTATTTGACGGCTCAGATTGCGCAAATTTTCAATGTGTGTCGACTTGTGGCCGGGTGTACCCTTGAGATGGCGAAATTTGGAAACTTTGCCAAATACCGTGGATGTCCGTTTGGTGGATGTGGTGATGGCTGTTTCGGTGGCAGATTTCTTAATGGCTGCCGCTGAACCATTGTCGCAAACCTCTTTGGCTGGCAAATTGCGACGTTTCTCTTCGAGCAATTTACCCTCGGGCACCGAAGTTCGTTTGATATCAATCGAACCGGATTTTGTGGAATCAACTTTGGATAGCTCACGGCGTCTAAGAGAGGTGAAAGAAACATGTTGTTAAGAGGTTGCTTACATGTGAGTAATGATTGCATTCTACTTACAATGGCACTGGTGACTGAGCCCGTTCCTCGGTAGTACTCTTTGAGTGTAACTCATACAAGCGTCGTCGCTCGGCAATACTATTGCGGGCTGGTGAAAATCTACGCAACTCCGATTCAGCCTTGTCATCGCCTTCGGTCGAGTTTTCCGATGACTCGGAATGGTTCTGTTCAAAGATCTATGTAATTTAAAAACAAATGCCAAGGATTAGTAAAACATACTTCATTTTTTGCTGATAAACAAATAACAACCTTCTCGCTAGAATCTTCATCATCCAGTGAAGACTATAACAACATAACGTTTGTGTGTGTGAGTGTGAGCAAAGTAGAGTAGGTGGTAGTAGTTAAAGAGTGTTGTTAGTAGTAGTTTGTTTTTGGTTAATACGTTTTGGTTGTACAAAGAGAAAGTAGAATGAAAAAATATTTTATTTGATTAGAAAACTGTTTAAGGCTAATAAAAAGATTTGTTAGAAAACATTAGTGAATTTAGGCAATGAATCACTTGCAAATTTCAAGTGGTGACGTATCATAACTATACTTACTTTACGCCTTTCTGACGTAGATAACGATTTTTGTAGTCCATTGTTTTCATTATTATCAGTTTCTGTGGTAGTCTCTGAAAAAAAAAAAGAAAAAAAAAAACAAGATAAACAAATTGTTTATTTTTTGTTTTGCCCAAATATGGATTTGTTTTAGGCAACTTCAAGTTGTTTGCCAATATTATAAATTAATAAAGGCATTCAAGAGTTGCATAGCAATCGGTTATTCTTCATGACGTTCCTCAGATTAGATCAAGGGATTTATTCCAACTTTGTCGGTTTGTGAGGGTATATATAGGGTATATGGCCAAAACGTGTCTAATCGAAATAACGGTTTAGACCCTAAGTCTCTTTGGACCAAATCCTTTACAGAACATTTGGAGTCGATGGAGTCTAGCGATGTCCGTCCGTCTGCCTGTCTGGATGGTGCCCACGATAAATCTCGATGAGATTATCCGATTTGATCCCAACATGGTACATCTTAATATTATTGTCAAACTTAGATTGAGTTCGGAGATGGGCAATATCGGTCCACTCCTTCTGGTACCTCCCCCACAAATGTTCAAAATTTGGAATACTTATAACTCTTATTAAATGTAATGTAAGGGTCCGATAATCCTCAAATTACACACATCACATTATTTTTATAAAACCTATGTCTGGTGTGAAGATGGAATATATCGGTCCACTCCTTCTAGTAGGGTCAATATTTTGAATATCAGTGAAGCTCATAAAACGAGAAATTAATATAATTCCATTCAGACTTGGCACATCTCAATATTTTCATAGACACAAGATCTGGTGTAAAGACGGTTCGGACCACTCTTTCTGATACCTCCCCCACAAAGGGTCGAAGTTTTGAATAACCAAAACTATTATAAAATCCGAAATAACATTCCGGTTCTCTTCATACTTTACACATCCCATTATTTCTACAAACACAAGCTCTGCTGTGAAGATGGCATATATTGGTCCACTCCTTCTGGTACCTCTCCCACAAAGGGTCAAATTTTTGAATACCCATGAACAGCTCATAAAACGCGAAATTAAGATCCGATATTATTCGGACTTGGCACATCTCAATTTTTCGTTAAACACAAGATCTGTTATAAAGATGGTACAGATTGTAACATTTCTTCTGGTACCTCCCTACTATAGGGTTCAAGATTTTTGAAAAACAAAACGCTCAGACAACGCTAAATAAGCATCCAACTCTTTTCAAATTTCACACATCCAAATATTTTGGCTAACGCAAGATCTGTTGTGAAGATGATATATATCTGCCAACCTCACCCACAAAGGGTTACAATTTCCAATACTTATATCTGTCAAAACTTGCGGACTTTTTACATGAACTGTATCCGAAAAATGGCACCAAAGAAAGGTGATACCAGAACCAATGATTAGATATTGTCTTTCTATCTTCGAACACAATCTAAATTTGTTAGCAACTTATACTAAATCTGGAACTCAGAAGCCATTGCATTTTATTTCAAAATGTGAACTATTTTCATCTAAACCTGAACCTTAAAATACTTTACAACCAATCTAATAAAGGGCTACTCTCGTCCTCTATTTAGATATTCTTATAAACTACATACATCGCCGTTTGGCACAAATGGGTTTCTATCTCTAAATAGCCTAATTTTGTCTTCACCTTCAGGGAAATAACCTATTTTACATTAATCTCTTCGCCTTTACTTACTTTTAATCTCAATTTCTACGATTAGATCTGGTTTCGTGGCCGATGGCGAAGTTGAATCAGTTTCATGGGTAACTGGTGTCTCTGACTTTGTATTCGATAGATTTTCTTGAGATCCGGGGGCAACGGGTACAGCAAATACCTTATCAAAGGTAACATCTGCAGCATTGCTCGAGAAGGGTTTGGGACCCAGGCGTGGCTGAAAAAAAGTGAAAATATTGAGAAACATAAAAATCCATTCGTTTATTAAAAACGGAAAGAAAGTTGGTGGGACAGTAAAAAAATAAACAACAAATTGTATTGCATTGAAACAAAAAAAAACACAACGAATAAAGCAAAGTGCCAAATTTACCTAATAAATCAAACCATATCACAAATGGGAAATATTAAAAATCAAAATTAAAAAGAGAACAACTCAAATAATCCAAAAAAAACAAAGTGCGTGGGAGGGACAAGCGCAAAATCGCAAACCTTATAGGCACTGGCCGTGGTACGTGGCCTTGGCTTGGGCATAACTTTGTTGGCATCCATTGGCAAATTTGGCATTGAATCTTGCAACGAATTATTGCGTGAAGTACGAGGCATTGGTTTGGGCACGGACGACGAAGAATCCTCGGTATTGGGTGAGTCTTGTGACGGTGAGCCGCCATCATCATCGTGCATCATGTTGTCTTCGCCACATTCCTTTTCTGAATCAGTTTTATATTTGCTATCAAATTTTTTGAAAATATTTGACAGTTCATCCGTTTCGACAACTTCTTGTTTGGGAGATTTCAAAGATTTGGCAATGATTTGTTGTGTTGGGGGTGTTGTGGGAGGAATTGTATGGCTGCCATTATTGAGTTTTTTGTTTTCGATATTTTTAATGTATTCTTTTAAGTTTCCACGATGGATCTTTGGTAGAAAATCCAAATAAAAAAACATTGAATGCCAAGAAAATAGTTTAAGAAAGAAAAGTATAGAGCATTACATTGACGATCGACGATCTTCTCATGGAAGTTTTCAGGTCGTGTTTTTGACAATTGGCTACTTACAACAACAGGTGCATCGCCCAAATCACGTTTGGCAGGATCTAAACTCATTTTGGGCACCGCCATGTTGCAACCATTCATCCATTCTGCGGCCGTCAGCTCAGTGCGGCAGCTGGCCGTATCGGGATATAAATCACTATGGAAATCTCTGTAAGTCTACAAAGGAAAAATGTATTATTTTTCCATTGTCACAGCAAAAGAGAGACAAGATTTTCGTTTACCTTTCGTGGTACCTGATACATAATTGGTATAACCATATTTGAGGTTAATTGTAGCACTCGATTTACTTCACCCTCCATAACTTTAAGGGCACGTTTTGGTATCAAACAAGCACCCTTGGTCTGTTCACCCGTGTGGCGTAGTCCCTCAATTAAGTATGGATCCTTGTCGGTTACCTCGAGGTAATTGATTGTGGTGTCACCCTTGCCGGCCAGGAATAACATATTGGTATCAGCATCGAAGAGCGGCATTAAAATACCCGTGGAACAATCCAATTCCAGGGTTTTTTCTGGCACCGCAAAGTTACGTATGTCACGTATTATGACCTGTCTTAAACGGGCCGAGTCAAAGCCAGTGGTCAATATGCGTGACTGATTGCCCAGCCACACAACACGAGAATCCTTAATACTTTGATGGGACTCAGCCGACATTTGTATGGGAGAACCATTGACACGACAATCTAAAATCCTCACAAATTTATCCTTGCAACTGGTGGCAATTACAGTGCCATCTTGACGCCAGCTGGCTGATTGTATGACTTCTGGATGTTCATTGTTTGCTGGAAATACACAAAGAAAACCCCAATTGAATATATCAGTAAAATATTGAAATATATTACGACTTACAATAAATCTCCTTTTGGGCCGTCAAATCAAACAGCGTCACACAACCAGCCGATGTTGAGTGCAACAGACCATCGGCGGTGGGATGAAAGCCCACTGTCTCTACCCGCCTCTGTTTATGCGAAAAGACACACTCCGGATCTGATAGCGACGTCTCCAAGCCCTTTTCCGGTATATGCCATATCTTAACCATACAATCCTGTGAGGCCGTTGCCAACAGCCCATCATGAAATGGTGAAAAACCCAAGTCCGTTACCGTATCCGAGTGGGCATGCAACAATGGCATGGTCTTGCTTTTACGTCCGCAATCGTCCAATGGCAGTACAGCCACACTGGAGCCCGTGTGTTCCCAATTGAATGCCATAAAGGCGGCCGAGGCGGCAATGTTATTGCCATAGGTTTGATAGGAACCTACACATATGTCACGTATACATGCTTCCGGCTTGGGTACAATAGGTGCTGCATTCTTGTACTTGGATGCTTTAAAACGCCAGGCCATTGTGTCTTCGTCAACACCAGCAGTTGCAAAGTGAAAAAGTTTATTGCCTCTCTTACGACCGAGTCTAGATGTAAAATTATTAATCAAACTGAATTGAGTTTGTCGTCGGCACTATTTCTACAACTTCTCTCTTCTTCTTGCTTCGATTCGATATATTGTGAAAGTGTCTGATAAAATTATATGAAATGCCTGTAAGTGGAGGAGTGATAATGGAAAGTTTTTTTTAGTTGTATTTTGTATATACATATGAATGTATGGCAATATCAATACGTTATAGTGGTTTTTAAAGCAAAATGTCAGATTTTTATTAAGCAATGCTTATAATGCAAGACTCTTAATGGTATTGTATTTTGTAAATTTTTTTGTATTTAAAAAGGAATACGGCTAAAACTTTAAATGCAATTAATGAAATGTCAAGACTTCTTTTTTTAATAAACATTTTTCATTTAGAAAATATCAGTCGGTAAAACCGACAGATGTATACTCTCAGCCAATGTTCGATTATTTAAATATATTGTGAGTTCTGTTATGATTATTCATATGGAGTGGGGAATATTCCGAATTCCGAAGGAATAGACCACTATTTCTTATCGGACCTAAATAAATATGATATAAATTTTGTGACGTGCCAGGTTTGAACTATATCGACTGCTTCCTTCACTTTATATGAGGTAAGTGCTAATTTTTAGAAAAATTAGAAAAAAAAAATTAAAAATGTGTCAACTGAAGTATTCCATTTTCATACCTTATCTAATACAGACAAAAATATTGGTATGCGGAAAAATTACAAGAAAATCGAAAATTTATATCCAATTTTATGCGAAATCATAAATTCCATTTTCATCTCAGGTTTCTGGTTGAGATAAATATTTAGATATAGCAAGTTGTAAAGAATCGCTGACTTGTTTCGCAAGTTTTGACCATTAAAGGGTTGAAAATTGTGACACTTGTTATGAATGAGGTACCAGAAGGGGTTTACAGATATATATATCATCTTCACAACAGATCTTGTGTTACCAAAAATGTTTGTATGCGTAAAATTGGAGGAGAGTTGGATGCGTATTACACTTAATTTCGCGTTCATGGATATTCAAGATTTTGACCCATTGTTAGGAAGGTACCAGAATAAGTGAACCGAAATATCCCATTTTCACAACAGATCTTATGTTGATGAAAATATTGAGATGTGCCAAGTCCAAGAGGAATCGGATGTTATTTTCGCGTTTTATGAGCTTTACGGATGCTCAAAATTTTGACCCTTGTGAGGGAGGTACCAATATATCCCATCTTCACAGCATATCTTGTGATGTAATTCGAAGGAATGGTCCGATCTCAACCATCTTTATAACATATCTTGTGTTGATGGAAATATTGAGATGTGCCAAGTCTGAATGGAATCTTCATAACAGATCTTCGAATAATAAAACTATTGTGATGTGTGTAATTTGAAGGCAATCGGAGTCTTACATCACATTTTATAAGGGTTATAATTATTCAATATTTTGAACTTTTGGGGTGGAGATACTTGATAGAGTGGGCCGATAGTGTCCATTTTCGCACCTGACCTAGCACTGATGCAAATATTAGGATATGCAAAGTTGGAGCAAAATCGGATAATCCTTTCTCTTTCTGTGTAGTAAATTATTTTCTTTGTTGTACCAAGTTTGGATCAAACCGAGTTATCGTGCGCACCAGACAGGCGGACGGACATCGCTAGAACGACTACAAGTGTCCTGAAACGGATTTGGTCCAAAGACACCTAGGGTCTAAAACCGTTATTTCGATGGGGGCACGTCTTAGCCGTATCAAATGATATATACCCTTTCTAGCTATAAGGCATATAGCATTCTTCCTAAAGCGAAACCAAACAGGCTAGCGCCTAAATATTGTATTGGATGCAATTTGTTATTTCTCCTTTTCACAAATCGCAAAGAACGGACTATTTGAATTTGAAAAGGTGCTCTGTAGCTGCTGGATCCTCAGGATTCGGGTATAATTCCAACGGGTATATTATCCATTGTAATTTTTTAACTATGACGACGGTATAGTTGTAAAAGTAAAAATACGTCATTTACGAGATATGGTGCACAACGTGGATCTATGAATTATCTGGAGCAGCGCTGTCCATGTGCATTAGAGAACTGAATATTTTGTCCGGTACTTTCCAGAATATTTTTTAAAAAGTTTCTATATTGATACTTAATTTATAGATTTTTGGTAAGATAGAGGTCAAAGATCTGCTTAAAGAACATGGACATATGCAGGACAAAGTATACAAGTCTTCATTATTCCGATGAAGCATTAAGCTCGAATTATGCCAATAAATCCGATATTTTGAATAAATACGAGACGTGTCCAAATTTTAATACCATTTATTTCCAGCTGAATATCAGAAAAATGTTTTGATTTTTTATTATTCTTATGCTGCTAGACGTTGACATTGTTCAAACTCCACCTTCTTTCTGAACTCAATGATATATTTGTGTTTATCTCAATTTCTGTCCATCCTTCTTTTCAAATTTAAAATTCGCAAATAATTGATGCTCGCAATATTGTCAAAACATGTATGAATGTATAATTAAATTTGTTTGCATAAATCAGTAGTTTTCAAATTTCTTTTTTTTTCGCCAAATTTCACTTTTTGAAAAACACACACGAAGTCTGCTTCATTAGAAATTCTAGTGGGGTTGTCTTTCTTATCAGTTACTGGGTAAGCCTTATTGATAACAAAAAGTATGCTTGCATTGAAGAAAATGGATTTTTGTCAATGAACTATTCTTGTTTCGATTTTTTCCAATTCAAGATCATCTTGGGTACTTGTTCTTTGGATAAAACTTAATGTCGTGATGACTGATACATTTAACCACAATGAACACTATCACAAATAGCGTAGGTGTGGACGGACATTTATAACACATTTGCTGCCTTAAAATATTCCTTATAGACTGAGAAAGCTGCAAGTTTTGGATAATTCATCCAAACATTGTGAGTTAGAACAACTGTTGGTATTTTGTTTTCAAATGATGGCTATGATGTTGCACCAATTCTATGTGGATTTAAAACATGTTTCTATTTTAATTTAAAATTGAATTCCATGAATTCATACCTAGGAGTAGTAAGAGTTCTTGAATATTTATAGGTATATTTAATAATTAATATTTAACCTATTTCAATGCGTGTGGTGGGTATTTTGAAATATCCCTCCCCCAAAGCCTGGTGGTAATTTCCTTAGAAAATATTTTTGCTACACCTATATGTGTACATATAGTGGGTACACACCCCACCCCCACACCTATGAATACAAAACAGAATAAATTTACATAAAATAGATAAATAAGAAAATAGCATTTCGCAAAATAGATAGGTAGGTAGTTAGGAAGTGGTGTATAGAACCCTTAACTTGCCTCTTGGTGATTTGTACACCAAACACCACCCATCACTACCCATTTCCACAATACATACACACTAGATCAACCCCTAAGTTGATCATCATCCGTTCAATTCATCCACATTTTATAATCTTAACAGAGCAACAACACCACTAACACCAACCAAGTAGTTTTCCACAGACAAATAGACAGACAGACAGTCAAGCAGCCCGGCAGGCAATCACACAAAAACAACAACAAGAACTATATGGTAGCTTGAAGACAGGTTTTGCGCTGTTTCCATCCGTCCATTGCTGATGGCTGAGCTGAGCTGATGTTGTCAAATCGCATAAATCATATACAATAGAAAGTATGGACGGACAGACAGACAAACGGACACATATTGATATCACTTGGATAGTAGCTCTTGTCTTGACCGCGTCGTCTTTACCAGCGACAGCCAACATCCAATAAGCAGCACAAAGAGACAGCACCGTTCAAACAAGGAATTCAGTGGAAAGACACATTTATCCACCATAAAAGGCCTTAAAATATTGCAAATTATGTCCAGCAGTAGGAAAAACGAAAGAAATGACATAAAAAAGACCTCAAACAAAAAAGGCTGTCATCTCCCGGCAAGAGTGGCCTTTATAAATCTCCGTGGTTTGACAATTGTTCTCCTTCTCTCTTGTTTTATATATCACACCGCCGCCTTTTTGGGCTCTTGCTCTCAGTGGTGTTTTCTTTTTGTTATCCAGCCATCATGAGCAAGGAAAGGGAGAAAGGGCAAAATATATATACAACACACAAACGAACACACACACACACACTCAAACACTGAGTGCATTCAGTTGGATTTGGTTTGCTGCACTTTTTGCAACATTTCGATTTAATGCAATTAAATCAAATTTGTTGATCGATGATTACATCCTCTACCACCATCACTTGATTATGTGCTACTGGTGTTGTTCTTCTTTCTCTTTGCAGTTGTGTGACTAAGTACAATTCGGTGGCTTAGTAATAATTTCTATTTTTACTTTCATAAATTATCAATTGCACTTTCTCGGCAACAATATCTTTTTCCACTATAGAAACTAACACACCCTTTTTTCCATACAATACACAGAGAACACACAGAACAGAGAGACGCGCAGACAAAGAATTTTTGATATTCCGTATTCCTTCAAAGTAGAATTTGCTTTCTTTTGAAAGATTTTATTTCAACTAGTGCACAATTATTAGTAACATTAATTCACTGAACATTTAGTTGGCATTTTTAATCAATATCAATTTTAAAAGTTAGCAGTAGAATTTAAATTCAAAATTACTTTTTCTTCTTTCCTCCGACGACTGTGTACGACGACTCTGTTCGTTGTAAATAAATATAAATACTAATGGCTGGCAATACTAATAGGGATACGTAAGTCTAGTTTCGATTAATCGGCTTTTGGTGTTTATCAGGCAACCACGAATGAGAGAATTGAGATGCCACATTGCCAATCAACCGGTATTTGAGTAAAAATGTTGCTCATTACTGTGTGTTGTATATAATATATTAAAAATTGATGTTGTCTTTGCCAAAGCTTTCATTTCATTTCAGTAATAGCAAAGTTATTTTTTGTTCGCTTATATATCTATGAATATTAATCTCTGTAAACATTCTCTCTTTGAATAGGGATACCTAAGTCGATATTTATCGAAATCATCGGACTATCTACGAAAGAGAAAATGTCAGTTAATCAGCAAGAACTTTGTTGTTCCAATTCGCAATCATTCCCATTAGAACTCTGTTTAGTTTGAATCGTTATCTTTTTCATTTTTAAATTACTCCTATAAAAGGTAATGTTAAAGTTTTTGAGAGAGAGCCAAATTAATTATTTTTTTTTCGCTACTGATAGAAGAAGCCAAACAAGATAATGGAATTATTTCGTAGAATTTTCGAGCTATTCGGTGACGTGTAATTTTTTGATTAAATTTCTAACCTATTAATAAATAGGTTAGATTATTATTTTTACTAATAAATAAATAGGTTAGATTTGGTAAATAGGTTTATTGTTCCGATTCGCATTCATTCCTATTATAGTTCTCTTTAAATTGAACCGTTAGCTTTTTTGTTTTTAAAACATTTTTAAAAACGGAAATGTTAATGTTTTTGTGATAGACGAAAATTAAGTGTTTATTGTTCGCTGGTGATAGCGGGCGACCAAGATAATAAAAGAATTTCGTGGAATTTGGAGCTATTCAATAATGTGCAATTTTGTGGTGAAATTTTGTAGTTTTATTAGTTTGTCATTTTTATTAAAAAATAAATGATCTAACCTTCTGATTTGCCATAGACAGCTCATTATGTTGCAAGAACGTGCATGAACTTACACCGCAAAGAAAATAGAAAATAGACTCCAAAGAGATAAAGAGTTGCTTTGCTTGGCCGAAAGTGGTGAACTGTCGAATTTGGTTTTCTCAGATCATAAAAATTCGTTGTCCAGCAGTTTGTAAACAAACAAAATGATCGTGTTTACTTGCCAAAGAGGTCAGCAGAAAATGTGCACCTACGGTTGGCTACCAGAACTTCAGCGGCGGCCACGGTGATGGTGTGTGGCCTATGCCTATGGTCGCTCTGCGCTCGTATTAATCGACCGTGACATTAGAATAAATTCCGAATATTATCGCGAAAATATTCTGGAGGGTGTATTAAAGCTTTGGGCATGCAAACATTTTGACCACAGACCTTGGACATTCCAACAGTACTCAGCACCATCGTACTCAGCACGCGCCACCCAAGAATGGTTACAAAATGAGGTTGCAGCGCACAATGACCACCAAAATATCCAGATACCAATCCGTTGGACTATTGTGTCTGGAGTATTTTGGAAAGCAAGGTTGGCACTAAAAATACCAAAGTGTCGATTACCTCAAGCAAGCGCTTCGCCGGGAATGGGCCGAAATGCCGCAGAGCAACTTTCGGACAGCAGCGGTTTCATTGGCCATTTAAAGGTCATAATTCGTGCAAAAGGTGACCAATTCGAACAAATCTAAACTTATTCTAAAATTTAAAGCTATTTCCGACATTTTTTGCTTTCATTCAATAAAATTAAAAAAAAAAATCAATAAAAAAAATTGGCGTTTGACTTTGTTGTAGTATTTTTGTCTCCCCCTGTAGCATCCAAAGAGACGCCAGAGATGTCAATATGTCATTATTGTAACAAGCCCCGCATCCCTTTGACTTAGCTGTAATAAGAACACACTTCCTTTTTTGGTACATTCAATTAAATCTCATTTTTATTTATTTTTTTGTTATGTTTGTTCTATTCAGTTTGTTTTCTTGTTTTTGTTTTTTTTTTTTATTTCATCCATATTAATGATGATATATTAGTAAATTTGTTCTAATATGCCATATAATGTATATTTCATATATTATTTCGGTTTTGTATTTGTTGCTGTTGTTGTTATTTGTAACTTAATACAGAGTAGTAATTTCTTTTTAAACATTAGAATATTGTAATTTGTTGAATGTATAGTGTGTATGTGTGTGTGTTTATTTCTTTAACAATATACTTTTTGTTTTGTTTAATTTTCTTTTGTATTCATCACTTGATGGTTTTTTTGCTATACTTCTCAATAGGTTATAGATTCCATCTACATGCTAGGTGGTGGTAGTGGTGGTGTAGGAAGAAGGATTAGGAATTAAGTTTAGGAAAAATTGCACAGTAACCAAACAAAAGAAGACAAAAACGAGAATGCAGTTAAAAACAAAATTAATAACAAACAATTTTTTATATATATTTATGTATACATTTTTTTTAATATGGAACTAAAAACCTAAAAACAATTATTTGTAAAATGCATTACAGCTGAATCATGAAGGCGTTTATGGTGGTGATGGTGAATTAAGTTTTAATTTGGTTGTTGGTTTTTGTGATCCACTTTTTGTTTTTTTTTTTTTTTCTTACACAAAATTTACAATTTAAAATTGTTTATGAATTTACGTACATATATCTTAGCATACAGTTGTTAATAGGTTCGTAAGCTTTCTGAGGGGCCAATTACGTATTTTTTTTCTGAGGCTCTTGGATGACAAATATTTGGAGAATACATCAAAAAGCGAAAAAGGAATTGAAACATTAGCATTTGGCCAGTGTAAAATGGGCAAAGGGAATCCATTAATTGAAATCCATGAAGGTAGTAAAATTTCAATCCAATTTGGCAAAATACATTTAAGAACTGTGCTGTCAATGACGAATTACAAATATGTTCCATAACCTGCAAGAATCTACTAATTTTGCAATTTTTCCCCAATCCATAAAGGGGAAATCGGTTATCGAAATAAAACATTTTACATTCTTGCAGTTCTGGAACAGATTACAAATTCGTCATTGACAGCTCAGTTCTTAAATGTATTTCGGATAGACCACATTTGCGTGCTTGAACTGACCATTTCTTTTTAGGTGAAAGGTGACATTTGGTTGGTTGGTTGTTGGCAATGCCAAGAATAGAAGTTATGGTTTTGTGGGAGCTATACCAAAAACTGAATTGAATTTGTTGGTAATTACGTCCTAAATATACCATTTTCAATACCAACAAAATTTTCAAAATTGTATCTTTAATAGTATGGCTTCTATTTTGATGTCAACAAACGGTTGGATGTGATTAAATCGCGATGAATTTAGCGCTGATCATGAATATATAAAATCTTTATGGAGTCTTGGAGAGAAGACAATTTGGAGGTGTTGCAATTAGAATGACAAATTTAGAATAAATCTTTAGAAAATTCAAGCCCCAGTGCCTTGAAAGTGTCTGGAAAAAAATCCAGTCTTTGAGGAGCCTAGAAAAAAAAAAAAACTAGAAAATCCAGTCTAGAAAAAAATTGTCAAAAAATCCACAACCTTAGGCCTTGGAGCAGTCTTAACATAATCCAATCACCTGGTACCTGGTACAATCTTTACATAATCCAAGCCCCTGGTACTTGAAGGAGTCTAGAAAAATATCCACGACTTTAGGCCTTGGAGGAGTCTTAAAAACAATCTTTACATAATCCATTTAAAGTCCAAAGAAATATCCTCCCCTGAATCGATTTCTACTAAATTCACCTTTTACAATTCAGGCTTGCATTACAAATTTGGTGCACAATTAACTTGAAATCGGATAAAGATATATATGGGAGCTATAACCAAATCTGAACCGATCTCGATAAAATTTGGAAAAGGTATTCCTGAGCTATATTTGATATACTTCCCCGAATATCGTTGTTACGGAATGCATATTACGGTTGTGGAGAACAAATATTACAAATCGGATGAACAATATTTATGGGACCTATAGCTATATCTGAATCGACTTGTTTCTAGGTTCAATTTGTTCGTAAGTGCCCAATTCAATCCGATTTGGGCGAAAATTACACGTTTGGTGCACAATAAAAGGCAAATCGGAGGAAGATATATATGTGGGAGCTGTATCCAAATTTGAACCGATCTTGATAAAATTTAGCAAAGGTATTTCTGAGCTTTCCAAAATATAGTTATTGCAGAGTGCTTATTACGGTTGCGGACGACAAAAATAACAAATCGGATGTGGCTATATCTGAGCCGATTTCGATCAAATTTGCTATACTTATTTTCAGGCCACATTTGGTCGTACGTGCAAAATTCCGTACTATTCGAACTGATATTACAAGTTTGGTGCACAATAAAGGCAAACCGGATGAAGTTATATATAGAAGCTATATCTAAATTTTGACCGATTATCTCCAATTTCAACAGGGCTCGTCCTTGGGTCAAACAAATGACTTGTGCAAAATTTCATCTGAATCGGGAAATAAATGCGACCTGCAGATCATTAAAAGGAACTATGGGTCTATCTCGTTTCCCAAACACGTTTCCCTTGTGGTGTAGAGTATAAAAATCCACGTCTTTGGGCCTTGGATTGGTATAGACAAAATTTTTGAAAATACCACACCTTGGGGTCATGGATTGAACTTATTGAACTTCTAAAATATCAAATTTAACGCCTGTTGTATATCTTTGTCATATATGCATAATTTATCAGTAAGCAGGTTAAGTTTGTAAATGGGCCATGTCGGTCCACTTTTTCGTGTAGCCCCCATGCAACAGTACCTCCCGATATTAGGTATTTTCATGATTTTAGCGAATTACTTCAAGTTCATAATGAGTACTACAGCCTATGACAAAACTTTTTGAATGTAGATTCAATTTTTTGTATAGCTCCCATATAACGGTACCTACCGATAGGCGGTATTTTGACGATTTCAGCAACATTATTCACCGGAATCGTTTCAAATTTCGCATTTGAAGTTCGTAATGGGTACTATAGCCTATGATAAATGATGATGATTTCGTCCACGTTATAACAGGTATAATTTAATTGGTAGTTTCCGGAAGTTTTTTTTTTTTTTGAAATTTTTCAAGTTCCTTCGAAATGGTGGAGGGTATCAAAAGTTCGGCCCAGCCGAATTTAGCTGCTTTTTTACTTGATTCCATTTAATTTTTTTCTAAATAAAACTTGAAATTTGATAGCAAAAACACAGAATTTGCTGTTTTTGTAATCTTCAAACATTACTAGGAATTCAAGAAAAGATCTTTGGTTTTTTCTGAGTTTTATGTTTTTTTTTAAATTTCTAAAAAATCATCTTTCATTTAAATAATGCTTTCAATACTTTCACACTCTTGTTCAACCGAATCGATTTTCTGTGGGATTTTAGGACAAACCAAAAACTCTTAGCCAAATTACTCTCCTTCACCAAACTTTAAATGTAAATCCGTTAAAGCTAACATCCCAGACTAGTAATTACAAAGTAATTTTAGAATAAGTCTGGAAATAGTATTATTTCAAAGCGTACTTAACAACATATGCTAAGACAGTGTGTGTTGTACGGTGATATATAATGGACCTTGATGTCAATTGGGTCTCTTTGTGTGTGTGTGTTGTGGGTTTTGATTGACATTTTTGTTGAGTATAAAAATTAAAAAAAAACATCACTTTTTTGTAGGTTTTCTTTCTTTTCTTAAAAAAGTGTTAAATCTCTTACTTATAATTTATATAAAATAAATTAATATAAATATTTTTAATATATATATGTATGTATAGATAGCATAATAAAATTTTGTGTCCATGTGTGTGTGTGTTTTACCATGTATGTATATATACACATAAAATATAATTAATTAGGCGATTGATTTTCTGACATTGTTCTTAGAAGAAATAATAAATTATTTACTAAAAAAATGCTTTCTTAAAACTTTCGTTAAATTTTACAGCGCGACACTTAATTTGAGATATCTAAAAAAAAAAACAATGGCTAATTTAACAAAGAGAACAAAATACAAGACAATGCAATACATGATGCTAATAAAACACAATTTATATCATTTTTATATTTGACGGGAGGGTCGGGTGATAGAACATTTCCTTTGTTTATAATACAATTGAAGTAATACATATTTTTTGTGATTTTCTCCTTTTTTTGGTACAAAATAGTCATGAAACAAACAAAACTTTTAGGGTTCGGGTACTTTTTGGAAAAACAAAATTCTATTTAAAATAACTGAAACTATACATGAAGAATACAAGTAGTAAATATATATTTTTCAAATATATATATATATATTTCATATACATATATGTGTTATGTATGTATTTACATCTAAAAAGACAGTCTTAATTCCTTGTGTTTCTTTGTTTTGAGTGTGTGTGTGTGTGTCTGAATTTTAAATTTAGCATTGATTTAAAATATAAACTGTTCTAGGTGAGTTTCAATCGAAACCTGGTAGCAAATGATTACAGAAATGAAAACTATTCTTTTTCTGAAACCTTTTACTTCCAATTTCCGAGTTATAAAAAAATACTTGTTTTAGAGAATATTGAAAAAAAAAAACATATTTTACATCTTCATGCATTTCAAATTATTCAATGTTTTCTTGGATGACAATGCCGATTTTAAATGGTGGTGTCTTAATATGAATGACAACGATTCTCACAGAGTATATTACGAAAAATATAACGAAAATTGTCCACAAAAATAGTCAAGTATAACTTATGTTTAAAAGCAGTTTTGTTTTGTGCAACTTTTTAGAAAAGTGCCCGAGTTTCTTACAATACAATAGTTAATAAAAAACAGAGATTTATCAATTTATTTTTTGTTTGTTTTTGAATTACATGATTTTGAAAATCATGTGTTCATTAAAAGAACGTACTTCTTTTTCTGTTACTTTAAATATTCGTTCTTAAAAATTTTCACAAAAAATTGGGGTTTTAAGAAAATTATGAAATTGTGTGTCTGTGTCCATCGAATGATTGCATTTTGAATAATTTTGTCAAATACTAGAGTGTGGTTAAGATGGAATTTTCAAACATTTAGACCTAGTCTCAGAATTTAAATGTAGGCTGTTCTTCGAAAAGAAAATTAGTGAGTTCATTTGTATTAAGGGTGATAAAGACGGAATCTGGAAATGGTGAATCTATGGTTGAATTAATTTTTGGGGGGAGTTTGTGACGTTTCATTTATTTTTGTCATTGTCCTTAGCTAGGTAGACCGATAATCTACCTCTGAGTTTGATATACGAACGATATTTGAAGTTTGAATACAATTGGTGCCACCCCCAGGATTTGTTCAAAATATTTACCATTTCTGTGAAAGTAGCCAGCTGAAGTGAACCGATATAGACCATCATTAAATTCTCATCGCAGGAACATCGAGAGAGTATTTCTCAAGCAGCTCTAAATGCGATTCTGGTCTTCGATCCTGTGGGATTCGGCATTGAGTATGAAGCTGGTGAGGCTTCAAATTCTCCATTCATTTCTCATCACAGGAACTTCGAAAAAGCGTTTCTCAAGCAGCATGTGGCATTCGGCATACTCAATGCAAATCTGGTGAGGCTACAAATGGCCTACTCTTATAAGGAGGATAGTAACATTACTATTTGAGGTCTTTGAAACGTTTAAATTAGGAGGACGACTGAAGCGAACCGATATGGGCCACCATTCAATTCTCATCACAGGATTCGGGATTCGGCATTGAATATGAAGCTGGAGAGGCTTCAAATGGCATACTCTTACAAGGTGCATAGTAAAAAATTACTATTCGCGGTTTTTGCAGCTTTGCAATTAGGAGGATGACTGAATGGACTGCAACGCCAAATAATGTTGTCATTGAAGCGGTGAAACTCTACGAACTTTGGGATTCGGTGACTCTCGACGGACATTTCTACTTACTTAAGAAGAAAAGATCGACTCATTGAGGCCTCAAATGAGCACCAGAAAACAAGAATCTTCGCTGAAGAACTGCATTTAGCTTACCTTTACAAGGTGGATAGTAAAAAGTAAAAAAATCCCCATCTTTTCCAGAAAAAATGCAATCGAATTCTTAAATCAAATACTTCCTGGATCTCGCCATTGCTATTGTAGGCATTGCATTATAACACACAATTCATTAAGCCCTTTTGTAGTATTACAAAAACAAATATTGCTTTGTAACAGCAAAAGAAGTTTTTTCGAAAAAAAAAAAAAATTAAAATATATAACATTAATTTTAAAATTAAACCATTTTTCCATCGTTCACATCATTCGTTGTGCAAGTAGTTTTAGATTTTCTTTTTTTCTTTTTTGTTATTAGATTATCTTGTTTTGTTTATAGAATACAGTTTTTTGTTTATGTTTGCATTTGTTTTGTTTGTTTGTTTCATTCATACACTCGATTGAATTGCTAGCCAGCTAACCAGCAGCAGCTCACTTTCATTATGCTCTGTTGTATTTGGAAATTTGTAATTCATCTCCATTTAAAATTTTGTAATGTTGCTTTGCCCGACGTTTTCATTTCTGTGTGTGTTTTTCTTGTGTGTTTTGTTCTGCTAAATTTTACGATAAAAACAATTAATTATTTACAACCATGCGTTTACCAACTCTGGGTTTTATTGTTTCGGAAATTTGCCACATTTCCTCTTCGCCCAAGAAGTTTTCGAAATTTTCAAAAAATCGAATAATACGTTCGTTGCGTCGATATGTGTATGAGCTGGAAAAGGGACAGAGAGAATTGATATTAGAAAGACATTCACTTCAATATTTATAAAATGTTCCACAATTATGTATATTAGAAATTATTATTTTAATTAAAAATAAAATGTTCCACAATTATGTATATTAGAAATTATTATTTTAATTAATTTAATTACCATGTCTTGAAACGCTTCATATTTTCAATAATTTTGTACTGTTGCCAACGTTTTGAAAAATTCACCACACCATCCTTTAAGTAATCGGGATTACCCACATGTACAAATGTTAAATCTTGAAGAACAAGGCCACTGAAAAAGCATAAACGAATAAAATGTATGAATTATAAATGAAATAAATAAATAAAAAGTAATTTTAAATGCCTTGCAATTTATATTCGGTCCCGGCTCGTGGGACTATTCATCAGCCCAATCATGAATAACAATTCCGGTCTGAATTTCCCTTTTTAGCCGGTTTTAGACCCTAGCTCTCTTTGGACCAAATCCGTTTCAGGTCATTTGCAGTCGATCTATCGATGTCCGTCCGTCTCTTTACCTGTCTGGCTGGTGCGCACCATAACTCTCGAAGGAAGTATCCGATTTCATCCAAACTTAGTACATTGTAATATTATTATAAAACTTAGAACGATTTCGGAGATGGACATTATCGGTCCACTCCTTCTGGTACCTCTCCCACAAAAGGTCGAAATTTTTAAAGAAAGAATATTTTACTGCACAAAAAGAAAAAGGATAATCCGCTTTTGCTGCAAACTTTGCAAATCCTAATATTTCCATTGGTGCTTGGTCAGGTGCGAAAATGGTTAATATCAGTACACTCCATCATGTACCTCCACCACAAAAGGTCAAAATTTTGAATAATTAAAACTCTAATAAAATGTAACATAAGAGCCGGATCGTCTTCAAATTTTACATATCACAATATTTTTATTAACGCAAGGTCCGGTGTGAAGATGGACAATATCTGCCCACTCTTTGTGGTATGTTATATAAAGTTAGGGGAAATTATTCTGACCTAAAATCTGTTGGTCTTACATATGAGAGAACCTTCTGTCAATAGATGCCCTTCGCAAAACCGACTGATACTTTTTAACTTGTTTTTAATTCACGTCTGTTGCTATGTAGCTATTATCAAAGAATTTAATATCTGAATATCTGACTTACATATATGGTATACAGGGTGGTGATGTTTCCTCCAATGCCTTACGATAATTTCGAAAACTGGAACTTGAATCGATTATATTGCAATTATTCTTCAACGTCTCTTTAATAGATTTATTCCATTCGAGTCTGAAAATAAAACAAAATTTTAATTTTATTGCCTCCCACTCTCAGTCGCATTAGTGCCATCGTACCTTCTGATGGGTGCAGAGTCCAACGCAGACAATAAGGCCAAATATGAATTATAATTGTGTATCTTCTTCAAATGTGACATGATCTTTATAAATTTCTCCACATATTTCTCACGCTCTTTGGCACAGTTTAACGTTAGGATTTTCGAACGTACCCAATAGGACATTTTGTTGAAGTGCTCCGTGAATTTATTTAAATTTGGTGATTTCTCTTCACACTGGTCTTTGGCAAACATTAGAACTTCGGGTATTTCGATTTTTTGGAATAGTTCAGCGTCTAACAGAGTCATTTGTTTGGCAATTTCCATGGCCTTGAAATCCAATAAACTAGGCTGGGCACTGACTATAGAAAACATATCAGTGGATGGATAGGCAGGCATACGTGATTCATTGTAAATATTAAACTGGAAGGTAAAGAAGACTCCAAATTAGATTTCCAGGATTATTATGCCAAATATTATTTTTAGTTCCTACCTTTTCAACAAATTTATTATGTAATAATTTTGCACAATATAATTCCCCGGCACATACCAGTTCATACACAAATTCTACAATCAAGTTACGCAGGTTGCGAGAGGTTAAATCCGTGCAACTGTAGAACAATAAAAAACAATTAAAATTTTAAAAAATCTTTATCTCTGTTGCTATACTTACGTTAAATCATTTAAAACCCTAACAAGCAATGAGAACGTTTCATTGGCTGACTTTTTCTTTGGATCGTTTAATTGGCAAAAGAATACCGTATAACGATGGGTTAGTTTTTCAATTAAATCGATGGGTTGTATAAAGGTGCGGAAAGTTGTAATAAATGCTTCAGTGAAAACTGTAGAAAGGCAAAAAAATTGGGTGATTAGAAGACAACTCTTAAAATCGGCTGAAATAAAATGCCATTAAATACTAACCTTTGTCGGTGACATTTTCGACGCGACTAGCGTGCACAATTAAAGCATCAATATAGCCTCCTTTAACATCGGGACCCTCTTCATTCTCTTTTTTGAATATTAAATATGGCCTTACATCAACCTCTTCCAAAATATTTGGTAAATGATTGATTTCTTCTGTCGATAGAGGACTCTGAAAAATTGGAAGAGAACACAATAGAAATGGTTATTTAATAGTAATGGTATAAGGAAAGATCTTTAGGACCAATGGTATAAATGATGTGATCCACAGTTTATAATGCCGGTACATTGATAAGAATTTACAGCTAATCAGGATGAACCTAAAGTGCCTTACTAATACCTGGGCGTCTCAGCGAGTAGCAGGTTTAGTTGTCAAGTCCTTTCCATCGTAGGGAGGCTATGCCATGGCGGACCTCGTCTCCTCCACAGTCCGATTTGTTTATGGAGAAAACATAAAGGTTTTCTCCCAATTTTAAATTTGGGAGAGGACGACATGATTCTGACGTACAGAGACGTTATCGGCGACCGCATTCACCAAACGAGTGAACAGTTGACCGCCCTTCTGGAGAGAACAAAAACACTGAGACTTAGTGAGGGGAGTGTTTCCTCTGGTTTTGGGAATGACTCACCTCTATCCGACGAGGAACTTGATATCACTTTCATCTCATCGTCGGAGAGAGGTGAGACACCTTAAAAAACTATAGGGAACACTCGCCACATTCCCAAGAGGGATCTACGTCGGCCGTTACCGATGCCTTGGTCCTACATCGGTATGACGCACCCACGTAGGAGCTGGCAGAAACCATGCGGGCAACCCTACCACCCACGAAGGCATCGACCCGAAAGAGGTACAAAACATGTAAATTACTATCAGTCGGTTTTGCCGACAGATGTGTACCCCAACCTTGAGTTATGATTATTCAAACTGTTGACTCTTCATGGGAAGCAGTTGGCTTCGGAACCTGATATAAATATTACAATATTACATGTACATATCCGGGCAATTTTTTGGAAAATGTGGAAACAAAAGGAATTGGAAATTGTGACCCTTTGTGGGTAAGGTACCAGAAGGAGTTGACAGATATATATCTTGTGTTAGCAAATATATTTGGTACTGGAAAATTTAAAGAAAAATGGATGCTTATTTCGCTTTCTTTGATAGTTTTATTTTTTAAAATCTTGAACGCTATGTGTGGGAGGAAATGTTGAGATGTACCAACTCTGAATGGAATCGGATGTTAATTTCGCGTTTTATGAGAGCCATTGATATTCAAAATGTTGAACCTTTGTGGGGGAGGTACCAGAAGAAGTTGACCGAAATATCCCATCTTCACAGCAGATCTTGGGTTAGTAGAAATAATGGGATGTTTGAAATATGAAGAGAACCGGATGCTTATTTCGAATTTTATGATCGTTTTGGTTATTCAAAACTTTGACCCTTTGTGGGGAAGTTAGCAGAAGGAATGGTCTGATCTCTACCATCTTTACAACAGATTTTGTGTTAATGGAAATATAGAGATGTACCAAGTCTGAATGAAATCGGAAATTATTTTCGCGTTTTATAAGCTTCATGAATATTCAAAATTCTGACCCTTCGTGGGGGAGGTGCCAGAAGAAGTGGACCCATATATTCCATCATCACACCAGACCTTAGCTCAATAGAAATATTGTGATGTGTGTAATTTGACGAAAACCGCAAGCTTATTTCCGATTTTATGATCGCTGGGATATTCAAAACTTTGACCGCTTATGGGAAAGGTAGCAGAAGGAATTGTCCAATCTCTACCATCTTTATAGCAGATCTTATGTTAATTGGAGACGCATCAAGTCTGAATGGAATCGGATGTTAATTTCGTGTTTTACGAGCTTCATGAATATTCAAAATTTTGACCCTATAGTGGGGGAGATGCCAGAAGGAGTGGACCGATATATTCCATCTTAATACCAGTAAATTTTCTTTTTCGAACTCGATCTAAGCTTAATATATTACAATGTACCAAGTTTGGATCAAATCGGATACTGCCCCAGGTCGACTCCAAATGTCCTGAAACGGATTCGGTCCAAAGAGACCTACAGACTAAAACCGTTATTTCGATGAGACACTTTTGGTCGTATCAAATGATATATACCCTCTCTAGCCATATAGGTGAGGTTTTATACCCTCAGGGTTATAATGAATAAGGAATCTGTAGATTTTCTAATTCCCGTACTTAATGGCCTTGAGTCGATTTGGGAAGTTAGACAAATCTGCAAAGATAGTTCCATACGTGGATTTTAAATTTTAATTAGCTTTGCTCGTCCCCTACGTTTGGCACTTTTATATATTTCATAGATACCCACCCAGTGTCTATAGAATGGCTAATTTTGTCTCGAGCATTCTACCATGGAGACCGTCATCTTAATGCTCTATATAACATTCCTCAATAATGAATACTTACCATTCTATTGCAGTTATTGTAATTGACCATTTCCTCCACTTCACTCGAGTAATCACCATTCGGACCCATCTTATCCAGCGTAGGTGATGTTGGTGTTCTTGGCATGGACGTATCATAGACATTTTGCAATTCATGTGAATGTATCAGACCTGTGTCATCATCATACTGATCGCCCACTTCTTCAGATACCGTTGACATTATTTCATTGCCACCCGACAGACTCAAGATGCGATGATCTGATGTCAAATGTGAAGGTTTTGGACTAGGGGGTGGTGTTGTAATAATTGTCGGTGGTGGTATCGGTGAAGAGGATGATGATGATGTTGATGCTGCTACCGCTGCTGAGCTGCCACCACTTCCTACCGCTGTTGCCGTTGATGAATTTTTCCATTGCTTATAGTTTTTGGGCGGTAATGCTGGTGGCACCTCCTGCAAATCTTTTTGGGCAAATGTGGTAGCAATACTGGACAAGAAAAGAATATAAAATTTAGTACCGATGGTTTACACTTTAAATAGCTCAACATACTTCATTGTTTGACTGTGTGTTATGTTTCTGTTCAAGTTGTAAGCATGAACAGTATGACGTTGTGTAGATGCCGAACATATTTCCATATAAGCCAAAACTGTTTTGTGTTTTTTTAATAGGAGGAGGAAGAAACAAAAAAGAAACAGAGAGAGAGAAAGATAAAAAACATATTAGTATGTATGTTAGATGTGTTACAAAAATCAATAAATATAAACATTAGCATTAATTGCAACATTCGGGGAACAAAACAAAAATACAATTAAATTTGTTTATCCAATTTTCATTTTTATTATTGCTATTGCCTAGGGGTAGGTCAAGCGATTTTTGAATTGTTTGCCTACATCACTACGGAGCGTTGGGTGGCCTTCTTTTTTCAATGCGCAACAAGTTATGATGCCTGTTGTTGTTGTTGTAATACTTACCTGAAAATGCCACACTTTGAAACACTGAAACGTAGCAAATTATTTTTTTTTTGTTTTGGTTTTTTGTAAAAGTTTGAGAAAAATATAGAAAACAAACGTACAAGAAACAATTACAATCGACAATTTTCGTTTTTTATTAACAAATATTGATCTCTAATATGGACTGAGATGTTGTTGGTCTTCTTGGGGAGAGAGTGGTGTTGGTTGGTCTGTCTCTGATTGAGTATTGAATTTATGTTTTGGAGTTTATGAGTGATGTGACTGCAAGAGGTGTTTTTGATTGCAAATTTATTGTTGGTTATGTTCAAGTTATCCAGTTATAATGTAATTGACAGTAAATTTCCAAAAAAAAAAGTACATTCATAGAATTTCTTTTAGCTACAATGCGATTCGAAATCTTTAACATTCAAACGGCAAGTTTTGATATAAAAGGGCATGATGTTCATTCGTCCGTCCGTCTGTCGGACTGGCTGGTGCGCACGGTAACTCTCGAACGGAGTATCCGATTTGATCCAAACTTGGTACATCGTATTATTAATGTCAAATTTAGATCGAGTTCGGAGATGGGCAATATCGGTCCGCTCCTTCTGGTGCCTCCAACACAAAATGCCAAATTTTTTAAACAAAATAATTTACTGCACAAAGAGTGAAAGGATAATCCGATTTTGCCCCATTTTTGCGAATCCTAATATTTTTATCAGTGCTAGCGCAGGTGCGAAAACAGACAATATCCGTCCACGCCATCAAGTACCTCCCCCACAAAGGTTCAAATGTGATGTAAGAGTCCGATTGTCTTCAAATTAGACACATCACAATATTTTTATGTGATGTGAAGATGGTATATATCTGTCCACTCCTTCTGGTACCTCCCCCATAAAGGTTAAAAATTTTGAATATCCATGAAGCTCATAAAACGCGAAATTTATAACCGATTCCATTCACACTTGGCACATCTCAATATTTCTATAAATACAAAATCTGTTATATAGATTGTAGATATCGGACCATTCCTTCTGGTACCTCTCCCACAAAGGGTCGAAGTTTTGTATAACCAAATTATCATAAAATACGAAATAGGTTTCCTTCAAATTACACACATCATGAGATTTATCGAAATTTGTGATTTAGCATAAAATTGAATGTAAATGTTCTATTTCGTTCAAAATTTTGCACATAAGAAAATCATTGAATTTTGAACTAATCAAGAGTTGGTCGGATGTAGATATAAAAATGCGGATTTTGTTTACTTTTTTAAAGCTGGAGTCAATCCATAAGGCTTTTATAGAAGAATTTCCTACTTTCTCCTCATTGATTGGATTATGGGAACGTCAGACGTAAAACTGTCGACACACAAAAGTAAGGAGTGCTCTCTCCTTTACTATGGCTTCTGGTCATAAATGAACTCCTTCTACGCTAATTAAAGCAATGGCCTGCACAGACAATATTGTGGTACTAATAACCGATAAATTCCCGTTGTCTCTGTTTGGTCTAATGCAGAGTGCATTGGCGCTGCTGTCAGGTTGAGCCCATTGAAATGCGGGTTGACTCGAATAAGGCAGACCTTGTGTTGGATATTCTCCATAATACCGCAGCTATCAGTATAGAGTGACTGGAACTTTCTTCGAAGGCTAACTTCATTGTCCACTCCTAGATGATTGCTTTTCCCCCCATGTAGTAGGCAGTAGGAAGTGTCAAGTTAAAAGTAGTAGTAGATACCTTTTGTTGCATACATGTGAAAATATACGATTACATGCAACCCGGATACAACCCTGAATTTTAAAAATGTAAAAGAGTTGAAGATACGAAGCCAACCTGACAAGGCGTACTAGTTTAAGCTCGTATAATTGATTTTAATAAACGTTTGTGAATTCTTAATTTAATATAAAAACGGTCGTTGTATTTCATTTGAGTATACGGAAACCAACAGACTTCAATCGATCACTTGACATTTTTCTCAGAAGTGGGATACGACAAGTCTTATTGGAAGAAGCGTCTACCAACAAGAAATATGGAGAATTTGCACAAATGCACGGTTAAGCAGTTGCAAGCGAAATGCAGAGAAATTGGTGTTTCTCAAAGTGGTAACAAAAAGCAATTGATCGAACGACTTGAAGTCAACAACGAAAGCGAGCTGCACGGATTCGCATCTCCTCATGATATGCAGGAGCGAATTTCGCATTTGGAAGATATGGTAACTGAATTGCGTTCATCTATGGAGCAACGTGGACAATCAGAATTTGAGCCGAACAACGCATCATCCCCTTTGAACACGTTTTCGACACCGGATGGTAATATGTCCCTGCAAGGCACACGGCCTAGCTTGCCAAACGTGGCAAACGTTGTGACAATATTACCGGAATCACGTTCGATTCCATCGTATGTTCAAACGAATACTTCTTTTGGTGCATTTCAGACTACGTCAACAATTCCAACGGTCCACACGTGTGCTTCTGCTGGTTTACCAACGTTTACACCTTCATTGCACGGACATGCTCAACTTCCACGAAATACAACGCAAAATGTAGCGACGTCATGCTACAACGTACCAACACATATAACGACACATTCGAATTTTACAACAGCAACACCGACAGGAGTGTTCACGCAGCCGAACAATGGATATGTTCAATCAACGCAGCCCTACAACGCATATCTACAACCGCCGATATTTGCAACAAGTGTCTATTCAGCGCCGCCGCAGTCAGAAATAGTTATGCAGCCTTCACAACGTTATGTTCAGCACAACCCCTTTGGGAACGTTAAGGAAATAATTCAACTTTTGCCAGAGTTTAATCCGTCATCTGAAGAATCGATTAATCCTTCACAATTCGTGCGACGTGTGGAATTATTGAAGACAGCTTATAACTGGGACGACGCATCAGTTATATTTGCAGTGCAACAGAAAATGGCTGGCCCAGCCAAGTATTGGGTTGACTCACTGCAAGAGGTATTTCTGTCTTGGCCTCAGTTTGTTAACAAATTTCTTTTAGATTTCCCTCAAAATGTAAATGCAGCCGATGTACACATTAAAATGGCACAGACAAAACGGCAGTTCGACGAAACGCCGCAGGAATATTATTACAGAATGTATGCTATTGGAAAACGGGGCAATATAAATGAATCATCCATAGCACGGCATATAGTCAACGGAATTAATGATCAAGGATTGAAGCAGAAAATATCTAACGAGTATATTACCTGTAATCAACTTTTGAGTGACATCAACGCATACTGTAGTTATAACGAGGTAAGAAGAGTGCTGAACCCGATATCGAATAAGACGAAACGTAGCAATGAAAATAGAACTGCCCCAGAAAGGAAAAGCGATGAAAGAGTGAATAAATTCAAATGTTTTAATTGTGGTAATACTGGTCACAAAGCCGTAGACTGCCCAGATCCACAGAAGAAGAATAGATGTACGATATGCAAACGGACTTCACACGGTGCAAGTGAATGTCCAACAAAAACCCTGAACACAAATGTCAACAATATAAGGGACAGCGTAAAGTCCAACGAAATACTATGTAAACGTGTCAAAGTAAAGGACAAGGAGTTTGAGGCATTTATTGATTCGGGAAGTGATCGGAGTCTGATCAGACGAAGTTTTGCAATGATAATTGGCGAAACGGAAAATTGCAGTATGGTTTTAAATGGCTTTGCTGGTGGCAAATACGAGTGCACAAAGGTGGTTAAAGTGCCAATTGACATTGATGAGACGAGTTACGACGTGAACCTTTATGTTGTGGAAAATTCTATGATCCCGAATGATGTTCTTTTAGGTCGAGATGTTTTATGCCAAAAAGGTCGACGCACCATTATTGAAGGAGATGAGTGTTGGATGCAAAACGTAAATGCGATTAGTATCAACGAAGGCTTAACATCTGAAGAGCATAAGAAGTTGCAGTTGAACATTCAAGAAAACCGACAATGTTTTTCAGAAAAGTCAAGCGAATTGGGTAAGTGTAACTTAGTGAAGATGGAAATCGAAGTTACTACTCCAGAACCAATACGATGCAAGCCATATCGACTAGCATTTGCCAAACGTCCTATTGTGGCAAATATTGTGAAAGACTTACTGGATAACGAAATCATAAGGAAATCGAATTCTCCGTATGCATCGGGAATTGTTTTGGTCGAGAAGAGAAATGGTGAACACCGTTTATGTATAGATTATAGACAGTTGAATCGAATAACCGTACGTATAGCGCATCCTATGCCTGTACTGGATGAACAGATTGCACAACTCGCCGGAAATCGTTATTTCACCACACTCGACTTACGTATGGGTTACCACCAAATTGAAGTAGAGGAAGAATCGAAAAAGTTCACAGCTTTCGTGACTTCAGATGGTCATTATGAATTCAACCGGATGCCATTTGGTTTGGTAAACGCACCTGCAGTTTTTCAGGCAACGATGAACCGAGTTATAAGCTTTATGAAACCAGGAGAAGTTTTAGCGTATCTGGATGACGTCATAATTCCCAGTAAAACAGTCGATGAAGGTCTGGACCGAATAAAAAGATTTTTGGATATCCTTAAGAAATGTGGTCTCACGTTACGATTGGCGAAATGTTCGTTCCTAGCCGAAAAGATTTCTTATTTGGGACACATAGTTACACGTGACGGAATTTTACCTGGAGAAGAAAAAGTAAAAGCGATTAGAAATTTTAAGGTACCAACGAATGTAACAGAAGTACGACGATTCCTTGGCCTAACTAACTTCTTCCGAAAATTTGTAAAGGATTATGCAGCCATTACGAAACCTCTTGCGATGTTGACACGAAAGAGCGAAGAGAATAAATTTCGTTGGGACGTACACCATGAAAACGCATTCAGAAGTTTAATCCAAATTTTGTGTAGTGAACCAGTTTTAGCAATCTACGATATGAAAGCAGATCACGAGGTGCACACGGACGCTAGCAGTCTCGGATTAGCAGGAGTGTTATTACAGTCCGATGGTAATGGTAATTGGCAACCAGTGTTTTATTTTAGCCGCCACTGTTCTGAAACGGAATCGAAATATCACAGTTACGAGCTGGAAGTTTTAGCTGTGGTTGAAACGGTGCAGCGTTTCCGTATATATTTACTTGGAAAGCCATTCCGAATCGTCACTGATTGTGCCGCAATTACTAATGTGAAGACAACGAAGGAATTACAACCTCGAGTAGCACGATGGCTGATGAAATTACTTGAATTTGATTGTGAGTATGTACACCGACAAGGGTCACGTATGGCTCACGTTGATGCTCTCAGCCGTTCACCGGATCAGCCACAGACGGAGATTGAACCAGCAGGGTTCATAATGAATATTGATAGCGATGATTGGATTCTCACGATGCAGCTAAACGACGACCACATAAAGAATATTATGAGAGTACTGCGAAATGAATTGAAATCTGAGCAAGAGAAACAGATAAAATCTGAATACTTATTGGAAAAACATCGACTATACCGGAAAACGAAAAATGGACTACGATTGGTCATACCGAAGGCTATACGATGGCGCATAGCTAAATACTGTCATGATGATATTGGCCATTACGGGTTGGAGAAAAGCCTCTCACGAGTCGAACAAACGTTTTGGTTCCCCCGCATGAGGAAATATATGAAGGAGTACATTGCAGCGTGTGTAGAGTGTTGCTACAACAAGGCAAAAGGTGGTAAACACGAAGGAGCTCTACATTTTAGTAATGTCGAACCGCTACCATTTAGGCAAGTACATATTGATCACTTGGGACCGTTTATAAGAAGCAAGCATGGTCATACACATATAGTGGCAATCGCCGATTCCTTTACGAAATTTGTGGTTATTAAAGCTGTAAGGAATACGAAGACATTGCCCGTCATCAACGTTTTAAATGAGGTTAGTGGATACTTTGGTTTACCTCGAAGAATAATTTCGGACCGTGGGACAGCTTTTACGTCAAAAATGTTTGAGGAATATTGCGATCGAAACAATATTCAACACATTAAGAATGCCGTTCGTACACCAAGAGCCAATGGACAAGTTGAGAGGGTCAATCAACTTATCCTGTCTTATTTACGAACTACCACTGAAGAACCGAAGGATTGGGACTCGGCACTTCACGTTTTACAATGGTCAATCAATTCAACCAAAAATTCGACAACAGGTTACAGTCCGAATGAGTTGATTTTCGATTACAAGCCCACCGACTTAATACAAAACCGATTGTTAGCAGCTGTACAAGATGATGTACAAAACGAAGAAATTTCCATCAACGAAAAACGTATCATGGCCGCAGAAAACATCAAAAGCGAACGAGAACGATGGAAGAAAAGATTTGACAGCAAGCATTCGAATCCGAAATTGTATGTGGAAGGTGACTTGATCCTTATACAGAATGAACCACCAGCGACAGGTGAATCCCGGAAGTTAGAACCTAAATACAAAGGTCCATACATAATAGCACGAGTATTGGGCAACGACAGGTACCTGATAGAGGACATTCCTGGAATAAACATCACGAATAGGAAATTCTGTTCCGTATTCAGTTCCGACAAGTTGAAGAAATGGTGTGAATGTTCCCCCGAATTGGATGTTTCAAGCGAAGATGAAGCCGAGGACGACTTCAGGTCAGGAAAGGCCGAGTTGTCAAGTTAAAAGTAGTAGTAGATACCTTTTGTTGCATACATGTGAAAATATACGATTACATGCAACCCGGATACAACCCTGAATTTTAAAAATGTAAAAGAGTTGAAGATACGAAGCCAACCTGACAAGGCGTACTAGTTTAAGCTCGTATAATTGATTTTAATAAACGTTTGTGAATTCTTAATTTAATATAAAAACGGTCGTTGTATTTCATTTGAGTATACGGAAACCAACAGACTTCAATCGATCACTTGACAGAAGTAAGTCTCCTAACAAAGTTCAAGGCAGTACATGCAATACTCGTAGCGGGAATGTGGAAAATGTTGCGGTACTAATAACTGGTAAATTCATGTCGTCTCTGTTTGGTCTAATGCAGAGTACATTGTGGCTGCTGTCAGGTTGAGCTCATCGAAATGTGGGTTGACTCGAATAAGACAGACCTTGTGTTGGATATTCTCCAAATTCCGCTATTAGTATTCGATGGAGTGACCGGTACTTTCTTCTGAGGCTACCTACTATCCTATCAGATGGACAACCAGTCTCCCAGCTCATACGGTGACCGAGTATCGTACGAAAGTATTTAATCGCCAAAGATAGCGCCAGTCACTCCCTCCAATACAGGTTAACGAGAATGTGGAGAATTTCTGCCCAAACTCCACCTGCCACTATAAGTATCCGATTTCTATCTTTCGATGAAGTTCATTGCAAATGTTCTCCTCTTTTAGGTGTATGCAAAATTCCCAAAAAAACGTTCCCTGTTAAAAAATTTAAATTACACGCTTGAAAATGGGATTGGGCACCACCCATGGATACTGTTTTCATTCATTGTGTACCTTTGGAAATTTGAAAATGTTCGATGAATGTTCGTTCGATATGATAAATGTACCGTGTAACACTACCAATGATGTTTTTTTTTTTTTTTTTATTTTGCAACTAATAGCATTTCAAATACTTACTATGCTTCTTTTTGATGGGCAAAGGTGGGGGCTCTTCTAGTTGGCCATTTAAACCCATGTTAATGGCACTGCAGCTGCCGGCCGGCATGTCTAAACGGCGAGGATCTAAACTTTTGTGTTTTGACTGCCATTGAAACGTTCGAACTTGGCGACGTAATTCAGGTATATCAGTAGAGCTAAGGAATAGAAAAACAAGCGAAACAATTATCTACATATCCTTGAATTATAAAGGAAGTTCTTTACTTACTTATCGGGGGTATCGGAGTCATACGAAGATACTTTCGGAAGGCGTGATGTTTTTGGTGGTAATGCCGGTGGTATATCATTTGTCAATGTTGCCAGTATATCCTCGGTTGAGGTTATATCTAAGCTATTGCTTTGTTTGACAATAGCACTGCTTGTGCTACTGCTGGTGGTGGACATTGCCTGAAATTTTTCCAACAACTTTTTCTCAGCCTCAAATTGATCGGGCGACGAGATACGCCGCTCATCATCGTTTAAAATGCGCAGTGCCGATGTTTCCGATATACTACTCGTACTGGTACTCGATATGCATACCGAAGCTGTTTTCTTTGTGCTACTAATCTGCTGCTGCTGATGGTGTTGTTGAAAGAAGTCCTCATTGATGCTGTTGTTACTGCACATATAGGTTAGCTCCGATGTTGAGTTACTGGATTTGGTAGATGATTGAAAACTAACATCGGAGGAGTGTTTTGAATAGGACTGTGTTGAGGTGCGTATGGAACAATTTGAATGAAAGCCTGGAATAATTAAATTTTGGATAAATTATTAATTAACAATAATACAAATAACAAAAACATAAAACATAGAAGGAAATGCAAAAGAAAATAAAGAACATGCAATTAAGAAATAAAAATGGACAAACAAATGACTTTAGTAAAACAAACCAAACAAAAAAAAAAGAGATTGTCACAAACAAGTTATTCGTGTTTATAATGGGTGTTAAGTAGTCAAAACAATAACAACAACACAGCATCCAATAAGAACAGTGGTAGTACTCAATGACCATGTTGTGGTCTGGTCTCTACAACAACAAGATAATTTTTTTTTTTAAGAGAACGAAACCAAAATACCCGATTCATTTGAATGGCGATGATTGTTCACTTTGCGCAATTCTGTTTTGCCAATTTCCTCATCAAATTCGGTGATGACTCCGCCAGATAAGTCACATTTTCCAGATTTTTGGATTATATTGCTTTCAATCGGATTCTCAGCAGATCTAGTGGTGGCCGCTTTTATTCCATTGTCTTTGCCGCAGGCCCCGCCGCCACCGGCACCAATACCTTCCGCTAGATATTCTAAATTTAGTTTTAATTTTGATTAGCATTTTTAAAATTCTACCAAACTGTCTAAGAACGTTTTATAACATTTAACGCATATATAGGGTGAGATGAAAAAACTGCAACCAACTTCAGACTGCTGTCATTTTTAAGCCACTCGTCCGACAGCTGTTAAAATTATTCCAGAGACAGATCATTATATTGTTTACAAGCGTACAAAAACATTTTGGTGAGAATTTTCCAGAAAAAAAGTTATTCGTGATGAAATTCAATCACACTGTCACGATTTATTCATATTTGCCTGGAAAACCACAAGTGGCTATCGTTACAGCACTCCAGAATTTAAATGTGAATAAATCTTCTTTGATACTGGTAGCGTAGCCCGACGTCAAGGAAGTGGACGTGGACGGAAGAAAACAGCAACATCAGCAGAAATGATTCGAAAAGTAAAGGAACGACTTGATCGAAACCCGCGTCGCAGTGGTCGAAAATGGCTCGTGAGCTTAGCATATTGCAATATTCCATTCGGCAAATATTGAAAAATGAGCACGGGGTAAATCCATTAAAATTCTAAAAAGTGCGAGAACTTACACCCCAAAAGAAAGAAAATAGACTCAAAAGAGTTGCTTCGCTTGGCCGAAAGTGGTGAACTGCCGAATTTGGTTTTCTCCAATGAGAAAACATTCGTTGTTCAGCGGTTTGTAAACAAACAAAATGATCGTGTTTACTTGCCAAAGAGGTCAGCTGAAAATGTGCACCTTCGGTTGGCCACCAGAACTCAAGCGCCGGCCATGCTGATGGTGTGGGCCGCCATAACAGTCGATGGTCGCTCTCTGCTCGTATTAATCGACCGTGGCATCAGAATAAATACCGAATATTATCGCGAAAATATTCTGGAGGGCATATTAAAGCCTTGGGCACGCAAACATTTTGGCCGCAGACCTTGGACATTCCAACAGGACTCAGCACCATCGCACTCAGCACGCGCCACCCAAGAATGGTTACAAAGTGAGGTTCCTTGCTTCATTTCCAGCGCACAATGGCCACCAAAATCTCCGGATACCAATCCGTTGGACTATTGCGTTAAGAGTATTTTTAAGAGGAAGGTTGGCTAAAAATTCCCAAAGTGTCGATCACCCAAGGGCATCGCCGGGAATGGGCCGAAATACCGCAGAACAACATTCGGACAGCGTGTGACGGTTTCATTAGTCGTTTGAAGGCCATAATTCGTGCCAAAGGTGACCAATTCGAACTAATCTATACTTATTCTAAAATTTGATGCTATTTCCGACATTTTTTGCTTTCATTTAATAAAATTAAAAAAACAAAGTGTAAAAATTATGGCGCTTGATTTTGTGCAGTTTTTTTATCTCACCCTGTATTTTTCCTAATTTTTAATAGTATTCTGGCAAGTTGAAATCCATTGGATTTTCTCTGTCTTGTTAAACTTTTTAATTCCTAAATTTAGATTTATATCTACATTATTAACACCATTACTTGTGTGTGTGGGTGTAGCTAGCTTGTGGCTCTTGGTAAATGTGGTTTATCTCCACGGTTAATCACAAGCAAATACTTATAAATATAACTATTTATCACATTGGCATTTTTGTAGCCAAATATAACCTTTGTAAATTGCCACAGATATGACTGGCCTCATTGTGACGAAGAACCTTATGACAGAATGCATATGCAATTAGCTTGTAATGCTATCTTATCATCATGTTACGCATTATTCTGTCTTTCTTTCTTTTTTTTTAACTTGTCATGATATTATAATTCCTAACACAATATAAACAATTTAGAGCAGCTATAGATTATATGGACAACATTTAGATTAGATAACTTACTATAGGCCAAATTGAATTCATGGTATTCTTCTTCATCACGGGATTGATCTAAAGAGCATTGACTAGAATTCTCATCCGGTGAACAAGAACGAACTGTTAGACTGCAGAGCAAAAACAAACCGGGAAAAAAACAATTTTAAATTAACATAAAATCCAATCAAATTAACATTTGACAACTACTTACTGATCCACACCTAATTCGGCATCTGAACTATTGATACTTGTATCATAATTGGTAAGCGATTGATTGACGGGTTGACTGTTTTTCTTTGGTGGCAATGGTGGAGGATTGTGTGATCTGAAGCATAACAGAATAGAGTTGTTACTTAATATTTGTTTAGGAATTGTTTTGAAGGTCTTAAAGAAAATATACCTATTAGGCAATGGTGGTTTTGGTGGGGGACTGGAGTCTCTTAATATATTTTCAGTACTATATGAAGCATGCATGGGATTTGATGTGGTTTTTTCAAGTATATCCCGTTCTCTGGAAGGAAAAAAGAAAGATAAATAAAATAATTTAAAAGGGTTTAATTTCGGAGTTATAAGGTGTTTAAAACAGTTCTTAGTGATAATTCACTACCTTCTGGTTTTTCAGCACTTTTGTATATATTTTTTGTTAATTTTTTCATGTTCCTACCGGAACATACCGATATATTCCATCCTCACAGCAGAACTTGGGTTAGTAAAAATATTGTGATGTCTGTAAATTAAATACAATCGGACACCCACATCACATTTTATAAGAGTTATAATAATTCATAATTTTGACCGTTTATGGGGGAGGTACTTGATGGAGTGAAACGATATTGCCCATTTTCTCACCCGACCTAGCACTCATCCACATATTAGGATTTGCAAAGTTGGAGCAAAATCGGATTATCCTTTCTCTTTCTGTGCAGTAAATTCTTTTCTTTAAAAATGTTGACATTTTTTGGGAGAGGTACCAGAAGGAGTGGAGTGGAAGTTTGACAATAATTTTACGATGTATCAAGTTTGGATCAAATCAGGTAGTCCCTTCGAGAGTTATAGTGCGCACCAGCCGAACAGATAGACGGACGGACATCGCTAAATCGACTTCAAATGATCCACTGAAACGGATTTGGCCCAAAGAGACCAAGGGTCTAAAACCAATATTTCAAATGATATATACCCTGTCTAGCCATATGGCTTTTTTTGATATACGCTTCAAACATTTTTAAATCCAATGTCTTAAGAGCCTTTCAGAGCCACAAACGTGAATTTTTAAAAACAACATTTGAAGGACGTTTAATATCCAATAACGTGAACTTTTCAAACAATTTTTCGATGTAACTTCTGGGCTTATTGACATGGATTTTTAAACAAACTCAAGACACATCAGAGAGCCATCAAAGTGACTTATTATTGTCATCTAATGGATCATACGTCTCTGAAAGAAGCAGACGCCGTTTCATGTTGTTGTGCATCTTCACCCCAACTAATATAGCATTGAAGTGCATCACAAACTAAATTATCGATGGCTATGTTGTCTGATTCCAAACATCGACCTGTCGGTTCAACATAAAAACGTATATAAGCAGAGGAGACTTTCTGCATTTTTTACGGACCAATCATTTGTACAACCCTTGTACATTTCTGTAGGTGGTTAAGGATAATAGCGATGCATTTGGCTTCTTAAAAGAGATCGATTCTGACATTATTCATAACTGGATTTGGGTTTTTTTACAAAAGGATCGAAGTGTGGTGAGGGCGCTTTCTATCAAAATCCCCAATTTTCCATGGTACCGTCCGGTAATCCAGCAACTGGAGGCTCTTTTAAGCAACAGCGATTTGAATAGAATTTTTATATGTGGCCTGAACATTACAACTTACTTTGGTGTCAATGTTATATCCGGCAGAGATGTACGTTGTCCAGCAACTTCTACTGAGGGACGCATTAACAAATTGTGTGTATTATTGGAACCAATAGCTGTTGTCGTCGGCGTTTGGGCTTCCGTAGCATTAACATCATATTGAAATGTAAAATCTCTACGCTCCTTTAAACTCTCTTGAGCCAATGTGGCTAGATTCTAAAAAAAATAAAACAAAAAGAAAGGGAAAACATTTTATATTTGTTCTCAATTATGAATTTTCTGCTTCCTCTTCTTCTTCCGAACTCACCCTCACTGCTTCTGCAAATGAATCGATAATGTCTCGCACATTGTCATTACTCAACGAAGCACATTCCTCGGAATCTTCACTCAGCATAACTTCATCACAAAGCTTGATCAGTTTACCCAACGTTTTCTGGACTTGTTGCGTAGCCGACAATAGAGTGGTGTTGTTTTCGTTCAGCGTATACGCTTGAATAGCTAAAAGCGGCATAGAGCGACATATTTGCAATTATTAGTCATTGTGAATGCGATGGAAACGACAACGGCGTTTTAATTACATTTTGGTAATATTGGCAAAAGAAGGGGGGGTATGGTGATTGTCATTCAACTTACCTGAAAGCATGCAGGCGGTTGTCTCCAATATTACCGTGCCATTGCCAGGCAAAACCTCCAGTTTCTTTTTAAGTATAACATCCTTGAAATGTTTCAAGGCATTTGTTATGTCCTTAACATGAATGTCGAGAGATTGCGATGATTTGGCCACTTCCTCTGCCGTGGGTGGCGGTTTATTTTTGTGCCTGGGGCTTTGGGGAGAATGGGATCTGAAACAAAATATTTCATTTCCTTTTTCAATTCTTTTATTGTAATCCGAAACTTACCTCCCCAAGGTGTTGGTTTGCGTACGCATCATAGATATCAGATCGTCTTTAAACGATCTAGCCCGCCTGGCAAATTTAGTGCCTTTCAAACTGTTCTTATGGCCCGATGATCCTGTCGTATTATTGCCAACCAGTGGTGTACTGGACTGTTGGGTGGGCGTGGCAGGCGAAGTATTTGGCGAACCATACAGATTCGACTGCGACGACAGAGACGAGTTCGGCGTGGACGGAGTGCTGATGACGCTATCTATAGGGAGCACAGAAGAAAAACATTAAGTTGCAGTTTGAACATTTCCGTCCCAAGGGGACAACATACTATTCCATTTTGTCTTCTTCTAAGACTGCACTACCATGAAAAACAAAAATAGATCACGTTTGCAAACGTTAAAAATACACTAGGGTTCCCCACAACAAATTTCACTGACTTGGTGGCCTCACATCATTGCATCCATCCACCCATCCGTCCTTACTCTCTATTTCAAGATTTTACTTCTCCACAAAAAATGTAAATATATGTGCATGTGTGTGTGTGTGAGTGTTTGTATTTAAATGTCATAGCACACGGGAGCAGCAACAATGATGATGACGATGGGATGGGGACGAACAGATCACACTCGACAACGATTCTTCTTGTTATCTGGATAGATGCTGATTTCAAAGATACGGATACGAGCAAAAACTTTCATTGCAGATAACTATTTACTTCACCCGACCAGTTGGTTGTTATGCCGTCGCCGTTTTGTTTCGCGTTTTTTTTTTTTTTTTGTTATTTAGATAAACACTTACACTTGGCTGGCTAACTGACTGACTGCCTTAGACAAACAAAACTATTTCAAATATTTTTTCTTCCGTAACGCTACGATCACAGTCGCGCACACGTAAAATAATAACTTATTGCTGTCCGTTCGGAATAAAATGTTGTTTTTTTAATATCTTGTGATGAATCAATTGTCGGTCGGTCATAGTAGTAGAGATACATTATACATTATTTCATTGTAGTACCCCCACCCTCGCCCGCTGAACACACATACTCGCTCGCACCCACAAAAACAACACACACACACTCACTCACTCTCACAACACTCTCTATGACCAGGCAGGCAGCCAGCAAACAGAAGCAGCAACCTAACACTCTGCCTGCAATTGTATCTGCTCTCTCGGGTCTCACTGGATGGATGGATGTCATTTATGTGGCGTAGAAAATGTGTTGTGTGTGTACCATACCTTGCATCATTTTAACCAGCCTCCTCCGATTGTTTTCACAATATTTCAATGAATTTTCAATATTTTCACTTGGTTTTCTTTATTTCTTAATAGCTTGAGGCATTTTTATTAATTATTTGCACAAAATTTTCCTTATTTCTTAACAGAGATTCGACAGAGCACAATAAAATATTCTCGCTTGTAGGTGTGAGTGTATCCGTATCAGCTAAAAGGGGTATGTAGTTCGACTGCAGACCAATCGATTTATCAGCTATGGAGAAAAAATTGCAATTAATCGATTTTGGTATTTATTACCGTTTGTTTATACAGACAAATGGTTTGTTCCAGAACTGCAAGAATGTAATAATTTTTCTTCTACATTATGATTTTTTTATATTGGCCAGCAACTGATATCCAAATAAATAATTTATGTAAACTTCCTTACTTTATGGGACAATGTAACACAAAACGCCGATTGCACAATAAATGATTTTTTGAGAGATCGGATATCGTTTTGACCAAAAGTCTACTATTTTCGCTTTACATTTTATATATTAAGCGGGTACGAAGAATACTGTTGACATTGATATGCCAAAAATATTAAAAAAAATTCAAAAATAATTTGATTTTCTATGCCAGTGGTCGTTATGTTTTGTGTTTTCAACTGATTTAATCGATTCAAATAAACTAAACATTTTCAATCGACTCGATTTCTAAATCCAACTTTCAAACATCCTTCTTTAGACTAGTTAGAAATTATGTAAAATGTAATTCGGCTGATCTTTGTTTACGTATAAATGCACGTTTTTATATTTATATTATAAAAAACAATATTTCTTTTACATTCTTGCAGTTCCGGAACAGACCATATCTGTGGTCACTCGTAGTTTGCGAATGTTTGACATAATTTGTAAATATTTAAGGAATTTATTTGCGCATGTATATTATATCCCTGAGACGACATTCCAGCAACAATTTCTCTGGTCCAGAAACTGCAAGAATCTACTAGTTTTGCAATTTTTTCCGATATAGTTGAATGAATTTATAAATAAACATTTTGATAATGAGATGTTGTCAAATTTATAATTAAAAAAAATGTGAACATATGATTGCATGAATTTACCTTCCTTATTCTACCATGCTTCCTTGTTTCCCAAAACACTCACTTTCCTTTCTCTACGGTACTCTATTGCTTGTTAGTGTGTACCCCAATTTAGTGGCCTTTATGCTTCACACTCATTCTTAGTCAGTCGGATTCCTTTTCTTGCTCATTTTTATTATTAATTCCTTGTTTCTTATTGGTCTTATCGACCCAGAGTTGCCAGTATTTTTCCGTATGGCAACCATGTCTGTCACCAAAAATTTTTTTAATTGAAAATAGAAGAATAATACATTTTTGAAGTGGTTGCATTAAAGTACAAACAATGCCTAGACTGTAACGAAAAAACGAGAGTTCCGTGAACAATATACCTGCGAGCATAGAATCTAAACAGCAAAATTAATTGAAGACCAGTAAAAAAACAATACGGCTAAACGTGTGAAGTGAAGGTGAAGGGTACATACAATTTTATAATAATTTCAAAAAATACTAAAAAAATTGTGATGACTTGTGAGAGAAAAATCAAAGTTTACAAGGCATAGAACAACAAAAAGGCATCGCCTATAATACAGCATAATTAATATTAGAAAAATTGCAAAGAAAATGAATAAGAAATGATCTTATAAGATGCCAACAAAATAATAGATACATATTTCTTCTTCACCATCATCATCGTCGTCCATATATACGGAAAAAAGTGGAATATAATGCTAGGAACACAATTGGAGCGAACGACGAATTTTTTCGCGGCGTATGTTCGTCGTCAAAAATAAAACACATATGTGTATATGGAAGTGCACACAATCACGGCACCGGCGAAAATTTCGTCGGTCGCCGCGAACTCAATTAGCTTTATTTCTATTTCATACGCCGGCGACCGGCGAACAAAACAGTACAAGGTGGCCATACTTGTACGAATTTTATGTGTTTTAGTAGATAAAGTTACTTTTTACTTTAAAATTTGTTATGGTCACTCTACTATCTGTTATTCGTATAAAAAAAACATAATTAATTTGTTTATTTATTTGTGTACTTGCGCCTGAGTGAAGATGGATATCAGTGAATTTATAATAGAGAAGATGGACATAAGTGAAATTATAATAGAGAACGTAAAGAATTATGTGTTCTTGTATAATTCATTGTAGTCAACTAATGAGCAAAAAGTAAACAACTTCATCAGCTGTTTTATAATTTCGTCGGTATTGTGTTCCATACGACGAATTTTCGCGGCTCATTTTGTCGCCGCGTAGGGCGAAATTCGTCGTTCGCTCCAATTGTGTTCCTAGCATAATGTGTTGTAAGCGGCTAAACGTCAAACAAACGGCAATAACACTAAAATGTACATTAATTTATTCCGAGGAGATGTGAAACCAAATAAACATTCATCTACATTTATTAATTAGCAAAACATGTCATACATACGTACATGCATAGAGGAATTAAATTACTCACCTAATTTGTTTTGTTGTTATTGCTGCATCGAATCCAATCGAGTGTTTTTATGCTAGGCAGCTGTGTGTATGTGTGGTGAGCGTACGTGAGAGAGTGTTTGACAGGTATGAATGATTTTTGATAGTGAGAAAAAGGAAGATGATTTGCGGACGAGTTAGACTTGGCAAATAGTTAGTCTTCAATTTGAAAGTGATGTTAATTGAACTCTAATAGTCCAGATTTTGGGTAGATTGGCCATTCACTCCTTCCTTTAAGGACAGCGATGTGTGTGTGTATGAGGTTATTGAATGCAAATTTGTAGTTAATACTGGTTTTAGTATTTGGACGCATATTTAAAAAAAAAGGGTTTGTTTTTAAAAAGAGGTGTTACTATGTCATTCAAATAAAATTGTAATTTTTTTTAGATAAATGATAGATACATGACAATCGATTTTGCATAACCAAAACGCAAAGTGACGGTCCTATGTCTTGAGTCCCATCTATTAGATATTGAACAGATGCGAGTTTGTTGGCGTATACCTTATCTTTCACGTGTTCCCAATAGAAGGATACTCAATATCTCTCTGGTCAGTTTTGATTAGTCTTTCAAGAAAAAACACGGTCCGAAAACTGTTCGCTAAATGAGTAATAATTCCTTTGTTGTGTTGCTGCCGCGAAGTCTTGTTGAAAATAAATGAAGCCCAGATCCATTCCAACTTCTACCATAAAAAATAATATTCTTTCGATACGGTCCATTGACCCCGCCAGACCATAGACTATATATAGAGGTCTCAACAATATCTCATGGATTTTTGCCCACATTTAAAAATTTGTTTGTCGAGCAATGAGATGATAAATCAAGATAATTATTTGGAATCATTTTCATGCAATTCAAGACCGTTTAGAAAGAACGGCGAGGTGTGGACAAACCTGGACAGTGGGTCTCTTCAGAAATATTCGACATGAATTGCAGTTCAACAAGGTTCTTCACGAAAACCCAAAAATGTTTTAATTTTGCAAACTGTGACTGCTGCTGGATCCTCATCATTTTAATGAGTTGTTTGTATTCATGGCAAAGAAGAATGTGCCGCCAGTGCCACACTGAAAGCTTAAGATTTGTGAATAACCTTGACGCTTTTTTTCTGGACCATTTCAATTTGAAACAACTTCTTGTCAGCTTAGACGGAAAGATGTATATCCCAAACCATTATCAATTCAATTTATTCTGTCTTTTGGAAAATCACCATTTCCCTAGTTGTTGTTACAGTTCAGTGGACATCAGGTGAGGACATTGTTTTTGATGTTTGAAAAATCGGAGAAAGTTGTCAAATACTGTCAAATACAGTTTATTTTTATACCCTACACCACAAGGTTGTCAGGCAAAAGTAAACGAGATAGTCCCTTAGTTCCTTTTAATGATCTGCATATATTCACATTCTGAGTCGATTTATGCATGTCCGTCCATCAGTCTGTCCGTCCATGTATTTTTTTAAACAAAGTGCAGGTCGCATTTATTGCCGATCCAGATGAGATTTTGTACACGTCATTTGTTTGACCCAAGGACGGACTCTATTGAAATTGGAGATAATCGGTCAAAATTTAGATATAGCTCCCATATCAGTCTGTCCGTCCATGTATTTTTTAAACAAAGTACAGGTCGCAATTATTGCCCGATCCAGATGAGATTTTGTACACGGCATTTGTTTGACCCAAGGACGAACCCTATTGAAATTGGAGATAATCGGTCAAAATTTTGGTATAGCTCCCATATATATTTTCGTCCGATTTGCCTTTTAACTTTTTTCTGGAAAATTCTCACCAAAATGCTTTTGTACGCTTGTAAACAATATAATAAGCTGTCACTGGAATAATTTTAAGAGCTTTCGGACGAATGGTTTCAGTTTTTTCATTTCACCCTATATGCCCATGTGGACAGTTGGATAAAAGAGCTTGGATACAGGCGACACTTTACGTGTGCATTCATCTACGTTTTGTATGTTTTC